TTGAGGGTACAGTCCCTTATGGTGGGGAAGGCATGGCAGCAGGAGTGTGAGGCAGCTGGTCACATCACATCCACAGTCGGGAAGCAGAGAGAGATGAATGCTGGTGCTCAGCTTGGCTTTCTTCATTTTAGTCCATCTGGAACCCCAGCCCATGGGTTGGTACCACTCACATCCAGGGTGGGTCTTCCTACCTCAGTTAACCTAATCTAGAAACTCCCTCACAGATGTGTCCAGAGTTTTGTATCCTTGGTGATTCTAGACCCTGTCCAGTTGACAATAAATGTGAACCATTATAGTCCCATTCAGAGGTTTGGGGGTTTAGGACATCCATATAAGAATTTGAGGGGCTCCTAACAGCTCCTCAGTATTGTGTCTCCTGCATGCCTCCCTCCCTGGCTGCAGCTCCCAGAGCTGGTTTCAGCTCAAGGCTTGTGATACCAATAGCAACATTGCCTTCCCAGTAGTAGGAAGGCATAATTGGCCTCTGACCATACATCTTCCTGACTGTGGCACTGAGGTTCTATCTTCCTGCCTTGAATACTTCCCTCTCCAGCTTCCCAACAATACCTCTTGACTTCTCAGAACCTGCTAAAGCCTGACCCAGTTTCCAGAACCTTCCTTGCACCCAGACCAGAAGTCACCAGACTGACTAAGTCCTTCTCATACCTCAAGGCTCTCAGCTGATCATCCTGCACCCCAGGCTCCCCCCTCACCCCTTTTTGGCCTGTCTTCCTGGCAGGCAGCTCTGTTTTCTAGCATTGTGGCCTCAGCCCTCACGTCCTCCCTCCCACCATCCTGCAACCGTGTACAGCGAGTCCTGACTTAAAATGGCTTGACTTAGCGTTTCACTTTCACAATGGTGTGAAGGTAATATTCATTCAGTAGAAACTGTACTTCAAATTCTGCTAGATATGTATCCCATCCTTGTAGCTCCTGGCAGTCCTGGGGGAGACACCCAGCACTCTAAAGCAGGCTGTGCTTCTGAGCTGGGGTGTCCCAGATTAGGAGTTGTAACACTTTCCACATGTGATATTTTCCTTTATGATGAGTCACAACCCACAACACCTTTGTATTCCTAACCTCTGGCTTCCAGGAGGCCACCAATTCAGTCAGGCAGCTTCAGACCTTCCCTGATTTCCCCTAAATCAAGACCTGGCCAGAGTCCTTGGGTGAGCATTTAAGCCTCTCTACACATTCAACAGTCTTTAGGTTTTGTGTTAATCCACTCAAGCTGAGACCACACATACAGACGCTTAAATACTAGAAACTCATTTCTCATGGAGGTTAAAGTCTGGCCTCAGGCTGCCAGCATGGCCTGTTTCTGGTGAGAGACCTGTGGGGGGGAGCAGGGAGAAAGAGAGAGAGAGAGAGAGAGAGAGAGAGAGAGAGAGAGAGATTGATTTCCTCTCATCTCACCAGGTCACTAATTCTAGCGGATGAGGACCCCATCCTTCTGACCTCATTTAGCCTTAGTGATGGTCAAAAAGTCCTGTCCAGAGGATTGGAGCTCCAGCATATAAATCTGGGGGACACAATTCAGTCTAAGACAGATGTGAATTGCTTACTGAACATGTGCTGGGGGCAGAGCCAGTCAAGCAGGGGTTAGACAGAAGACAAACACAGTCAGCCCCCATGACCATAGGCTCCATGTCCATGGATTGATCCAACCAGAGACTGAAAATATTCAGGGAAGAAAACTGGCTGGGGCCTGAGTATGTGGTTCAATGGCAGAGCACTGGTCTAGCATACATGAGCTCTTTGTTCAATCCCCAATGCTAGAGTGTGTGTGTGTGTGTGTGTGTGTGTGTGTCTGAACTGAACACACATAGACTTTTTTCATGTCATTTTTCCCTAAACTGCAGCATGTAACAAGTGTTTACTCAGTGTTTGCACTGTTTCTAGGCATCATGCGTCATCGAGAAGCGATTTAAAGTACACAGGAAGATGTGCGTAGGTTCTATGCAAATAAGATGTCAATTTCTTTGAGTGACTGAGTGTCTGGTATCCATGGGGGTCCCAGTACCTGTCCCCCATAGATACAGAAAGATAACTAGATCATCTGAATCTATATTGATACATAAATTTGTAACCTATGGAATGTAAGGATTGAACCAGGAGTGATGGCTGTAGCTGAGATCCCAGAGCTCTGGAGCTGGAGGCAGGAAGATCAGAAGGCAAAGTCATCATTGGCTAAATAGTGAGTTCAAAGTCAGCCCAGGCTACATGGGACTCTGTCTCAAAAAAGAGATATGAGGAAATGCAGGTATAGACAGGAAATATACATACAAGTATATACAAGGTATATATGGATATATAGAGATATATGGCTATACAGGTTTATACAGATATACAGGAATATACAGGGTATATAGGATATATAGGGTATATAAGGTATACAGGGATATATAGAGATATATAGATATACCGGTATATATAGAGAACAGATACATACAGGGTGTATAGAAATATATAGGCTATACAGAGTATGCAAGTATAACATGCAGGATATGCAGATACAGGATAAAAAGGGACGTACACAGCCGTGCTCATGTCATCATTACAGGCACCATTAAGCTTAGTGGTTCATGCCTATCATCCCAGCACTCGGGAGGCAGAGGCAGGAGAATGGCAGGTCCTAGCCTGAGATGCTACAGACTGAGGTGCTGTCTGCAAACCCACCTTCAGGGGCTGGGGAGACTGTTCAGCTGATAGAGGATCTGGGTCCAATTCTAGAACAACTACAAGTCAGGGGTGGTAGTGCACGGTCTTAACCCAGAACAGGGGAAGCAGAGGCAGGTGGCTCTCTGGGGCTCTCAGGCACAGTCCACCTTGGGGTTTTTTTTTTTTTTATCATTGCTTTAAAAAAATAACATTATTGCATTGAAAAACTGCATAGGTTGGAGATCTTGGAAAGGGAATAAATGCCAAATTCACATTACTGCAAGAGTGATAAATTTCGCAGTATTGCTGAAGCTTGGTAGTACAGTTTTGTCAGTAAATAATACTCAAAAATTTTAGTAGACACAGAAATATAAATTCACATTCTAAAATACAATCACATATGTTTTAGTTTGAGAATTATATCAGTTTGGTGGTTGCATTACTTTTTTTTAACTTCCCAGACTGTGATTTTTATCTCTAGAAGTTCAATTAGGTGTTTACATTTCTGTAGGGCACAGGTGAAGGTGCGCTTGGGCTGTAGAAAGCAATGGAAAATGATGGAAAGCCTGGGAGTGGGAGTTGGAGAGGGCCAACGTCAAGGCCTGGGTACCTAGGATAGCGTGTAGAGTCAAGCCCATCACAAAGGCAAGGCCACCGCCACGCACAACCTGAGGCCTTGGAGGCCATGGGGGATGAGGCCATTGCTGCCTAACATCGGGAAGTCCTCTATCCCCCAGTCTGCTCCACCATCAGCCACAGCTCCAGAGACACAGAAAGGAACACGGCTCCAGCTCACAGGAAGGGACCACAACTCTGGCTTGTCAGAGGGGACCATAGCGCCAGGCCCATTTGAGGGGACCACAGCCCCAGGCCCACAGACAGGGGACCACAACTCCAGGCCCACAGGAGAGGATCTCAGTTCCAAGTTCACAGTGTCTCTCATTGGCCTGGAACTCATGAATTAAGCTGGACTGACTGGCCAGTGAGTCCTAGTCTCTCTCCACCTTCCCAGCACTGGGATTACAAGTACGCTCCACTTGTCTGTTTTTTTTACATGGGTTCCAGAAATCAAACTCGGGTCCTCATGCTTGCGTAGCAGTTACCTTAGCAACTGAGCCATCTCCTCAGCCACTCACACCCCTCCTTGAACTTAACAAGCTCATCCAGACCCCAGGACCTTTGCATTTTCCTTTCTCCCCTCCACTTTCTCACCACCCCTCCTCTTCCTCAGTACTCTTAAATCCCACCTGAAGTCATGTCCTTTGTGGATCTGTGTGCTTACTCTTCTCCCATTTTTGTAGAATGTTGCAGAAGGCCTAAGATACTGATGTGTCCCCAAAGTGAGTGTGTTTGATTGCGAGTTATGAATTTAAATGAATTACAATCGTGAGTTGTTATGAATTAGAACCTGTACGTGCCCTGCCTCACGACCACTCCTCTACCCTCACATGAGTGTCATGCAGTACCGACTAACTGACCCTCTCTATGCTTGCCCTTCACATGGGGTGTGCCTGTTGTGTCTGTCCTACAACTGTTGTTGACTGGTATTTGTCCACAGATGGCACGACTCTGCCCAGGCATGTGTAGACACTGACCCAGAAACTTCCCAGGCAAACAGGATCCCCATCCATGAGACATATAACACTGGTCACCTTGGAACTCATTGCCAAAGACCACTGATGGGCCAGTCTATCCGTAGAGTGGAAGGAAATGGAAGACTGAGGCAGTTGGGGCAGAGGAAACAGGAAGTGCAAAGGCCCCAAGGCAGGGACATGCTTGGCATTTTCAAGAGGCACACACCCGCAATCTGGAGAAAATATTTTATGCTTTGAAATTTTCCAGTTTCAACCTTTGTGTTTTCCTAGTATTCACCAGAAATTGTAAACAAGGGCTAGAAAGCCAAGAAAATGGACCCAGTTTCTGCAATCCTAAGGACCATAACCTTTTAGTCACTTATTCATTCAACAAACATTCAAGAATTCTGTGTGTGGTACTCTAGGTATTAGAATCTAGAGTCTATTTTAGATATTCTTGACTCTGTGACAGACATCAAAGAGACCACCTTTGATTTCCTGCCTTCTTGACCCAGATTCCAGAAAGCTCTTCCACAGGGCTTCCTTCTGTATAGGCAGGGGAACAGCTTTCCAGAAACTTACACCTGGCTCCCACAAAGGGTGCATCCTTCTCTCTGTGTAGACAGCAAGAACTCAGGGAAAATTTCAGAAAGAGCAACACCTCCAAGCCTCAGTGAAGACATCATAGCCCCTCCAGAAACAACCCTTCCTTCATTCCACACTGCGTCTTCTGTTCTCATCTGTCACCTTCTTTCTGTCCCGCAGCCCCCAGCCTCGGGGAAACAGTCCCCCACCAAGAATGGCAGTCCATCCAAGTGTCCCCGCTTCCTGAAGGTCAAGAACTGGGAAACTGATGTGGTCCTCACCGACACCCTGCACCTTAAGAGCACGTTAGTGAGTATCTGGGACTGGCTCATCTCATGCTGAAGCAGGGAGAAGGGGATCTGTGTTGGCGATCACCCTGTGCATGGCAATTGTTCCAACACCACTCCTGGCCCGCCCCCATGAGAGGTTAGAACCCCCAACCCAAGTTGTGACAATCTTAGGATCTCCAGGCACTGCTTCACTCCTGAGTGGGAAATTCACCCATTTGAGATGTGCAGATGGATGCCTATTCACTCATATCAAGGATTCTATGTGAGCACCTCACACCTGGCAGAATTTAAGGGTCTGCACACAGTCCTTGCCTCCTCTCACAGTGTGAGATGGGATGTTGAACCAATAGCCCTTCCACACTATCTTCTATTCTATATCATATTCTTAATAGTCAATACACCAACCTATTGCTTTCCATTTTGGGTAAAACTGAACCTCTTGGAAGAACATTGTATCTGTTAGTTTGCAGTATAGCAAACAGGCCCCAAACTCAACAGCTACTATTATGTATTACTTTTCATGGACTGCCCAAGTGGATCTGCTGACTTGGCCCAGAAATGGTTGATCTCAGTGGGGACTATCTCACCTGCAGTCACCCAGGGGGACAGGTTGGGCCAGGCTGTTCTAGGATGGCCATGTGGGGATGACTCTGTTCCATGCAGTTCTCCTCTTCCAGCAAGTGAGCTTGGGTTTGTCACAGGGACAGCAGAGGCAAGCAAGAGCTCATCTTTTTATTTTCCGCTAGCATACAAGACTTCTTGAGACTTAGACATGGTCACTTCTACTACATTCTATGGATCTAAACCAGCCTGGTTCCAAAGGGTGAGGGGCAGGCTATACCTCTAGAGAGATTCTATAAAATCACATCACAAAGAGAGAATACCCAGGGAGGAGGAAAGCTGGGCCACTTTTGCCATTAATCTACTGTGTGTTCAAATAAATTGTTAATAGCTGAAGATGTAGCTCCATCAATAGAGTGATTTCTTAGCATACACAAATCCCTAGGTTCAAGTCCCAGTGCATAAACTGGGGGTGGTGACACATACCTATAGTCCCTGTACTCAGGAGGTTGAGGCAGGTGAATCAAAAGTTCAAGGTCATCCTTGAACTACATAAGGAATTGAGGCCAACCAGAGCTATGTGAGACCCTGTCAAAATTTAAAAAATAATAGGTAATCTGTTAGTTCTCTTTTGATCAACATAGAATCAAAAAATATTCTGGAGCTAGGTATGGTGACTCACATCTGCAATCTCAGCACTTAAGATGTGGAGACAGAAGGATCAAGAATTCAATCCCAGCCTCAGGTACATAGTTCAGTGCCAGCCTGGGCTACATGAGATCCTGTCTCAAACAAACAAAAAATAGATAAATGAAGAGATATATGGATAGATAGATGATTGATTGAGCAATAAATAGATGACAGATAGATGATATATTGGTAGATAGGTAGATAATAGATAAACAATAGAAGATAGATAGATAGATGATAGATAGATAGATAGATGATAGATAGATGATAGATAGATGATAGATAGACAGACAGACAGATAGATGATAGATAGATAGATAGATAGATAGATAGATAGTAGATAGGATAGACAGATGACAGATTGATAGGATAGATAGATAGATAGATAGATAGATAGATGATAGATAGACAGATATTTAAAGAGACAAAGACAGATTCTGGGTTGTAACCCCAGTGGCTCTGTACTGCTGTTCTGCTGACTAGCACAAACACCTTAAGCACCTTAAAATGCATCTACAATTCCTTCCCTTGATCTTGTCCAGTGACTTGAAGCTGGCACTGATAGTCCCTTTAGAACAAAGAACCAGGTCAAGATGACTGTGAGTGCGGGGCCCTGGTCCTCATTCAGGACACCTGCCCACCCATGGGAGAGGCCTCTCCCTCATCTGCCTCTCTCTTGGCTGGCAGGAAACGGGATGTACAGAGCACATCTGCACAGGCTCCATCATGCTGCCATCCCAGCACACCCGGAGGCCGGAAGATGTCCGCACAAAGGACCAGCTCTTCCCACTTGCCAAAGAGTTTCTCGACCAGTACTACTCATCCATTAAAAGGCAAGTGCAGGCCTGGGGGGCTGGCTCAGTGGAGAAAGCGCTTGCCATATAAGCACAAGGACCTGAGTTCTAATTCCCAGCACCCAAGTGAAAGTGGAACATGGTTGCACATATCTGTAACTCCAATGCTAGGGGAGCGGAGACGCATAGATCCCTGGAGTTTACTGGCCAGACAACCTAGCCAAATCAAATCACTGAGCTCCAGGTTCAATGAGAGATCCTGTCTCAAAAAAACAAGTGTAGGGCAAGTGAGGAAAAACCCCGATGTTGCTATCTTGCCTCCATACCCACAGCTGCATGTACACATGTTCACACGCATAGACAAACACAGACATGCAACACATACTTGCACAGCCCCAAAACAGACAAGCCTCTAACAGCTCTGGGGAGCCTGGCATTCCTTTGTGAAAGGTGGGACAAAATCCAGCTCCATCTTTGCATATACCTGGGCCCAGGCCTGAGCATACAGCCTTTGCCCACCACACACAGAAATGGAAAGCTGGCAGCCCCGAGGGCAAGCTCAGCCCCCAGACGGGTTCTTATTTGGTCCGAGAACAGTCAGGTTTCAAATCTGAAATATCACAACTGAACATGTAGAGAAACTCTCACTCCCATGCCTGGAAAGGCATGTGTAGAGAAGACATGTCAGAGAAACATAACTCAGTTATGTTTCAGATGGAGTATGTGCTTAGCATGTACATGGTTCTGGGACTGATACTCGGTACCAATCAATAAGGAAATTTAACACATTCTAATCCTACAAGTTTGACCTACATTTAAGATTTTAGAGCATTTTGGATTTTGGATTTTCGGATAAGGGATGTCCAAGTGGTCCTTACGGAAGAGGTTACCTGTACGGAAGAGGTACATTCCATACAGCACGCACATATATATATCTGTCAAACACCTAGAATAATGTTCCTGTGATTTCCATATGTGACAAATACACAAAGTGCAGAATGATAAAGGCCAGGCTCAAACAGCAGTCACAGCTCCAGGGAACATGGAAGTGTTTCTTTGGCTGGGGACATGGAAGGTCCTTAGGTTGTGCCATACACCTTCTTGTAAGCGTTAAATTTTTCATGATAATTTCATCTTCCCTAAAATGGAAAGTATATCCAACACTTAAGACTTAGAAAAGTTCTCTCTCTGCTCCTGCTCTAGCTACCTCCTTCCATGATGTCTCCGCCAGGATGGACTCTGATTCCTCTGGAACCATAAACTCAAATAAACTCTTCCTTTTATTTAAAAAAAAAAAAAGGACTTAGAAAAGTTTCCTGTAAAGATCAGATTTCTGAGGGCTGGAGAGGTGGGGCTAGGTGGTTAAGAGCAAGTACTGCTCTTACAGTTTGGTTCCCAGCACCCAGTCAGGTGACTCACAACCACCTGTAACTCCAGCTCCATGGTATCTGACACCCTCTTCTGGGTTCCACAGGCACCTCCATTCATGTGTACATACCCTCACACAGACATACAATTAAAATTAATTAATTTAAGATCAGATTTCTCATTTCATTTGAGTGGGATTGACAGCCACAACTGGCTGGAGAAGAGACAAGACCTGGCTCTCCTATTTGCTGAAGTTCTAACTAGCTGGTTTAGTCCTGAATGCACTGCCAGGCCTCTGGGCATTTACGCAGACAGCCCTACCCTTTGCTTAAACCTTTGCACACAGAAGTTGACTCAGGGCTTTGGGTGGCTCCAGACTCCTCCAATAGCTCTGTTTCTCCAACCTCCACTTTGGAAGACCCCATTGTTGTGCTGCTCAGCCTTTCATCACTGAGAGAATCCACTTACAAAAAGGAAAAGGTTTGTGTTGGCTCACAGTTTGGGAGGTTTCAGTCCAGGTCACATGGCCCTGTTGCTGAGACCTGTGATGTGTGAGACAGAGGGAGCTGCTTGTCTTGTGGTGGCTAGGAAGCAAACAGCAAGACAAGAAAGGTCTAGAACAGGTGTCGGGCAATAGCTCAGTTGGTAAAGTGTTTACTTTGTAAGCACAAAGATTTAATCCCCAGGACCCACATAAAAATAAATAAAAACTAAGAAAAAGCTTTAACAAAAAGCCAGGCTTGGCTGTTGTACTCTTGTTATCCCAGTGCTGAGCAGGGGAAACAGGAGAATCCCTGTGGCTCACTGGCCAGCCAGCCCTACCTACTTGATGCATTCCAGACCAGTGAGAGACCCTGCTTTAAAAAAAAAGGTAGACGGTACCTGAGGAACACCGGAGGTCAGCCTCTGATTTCCACATGCACCTATACAAACATGCAGGTACACCCCCACACACACACATGTTCACATATGCATACACACATACACACACACACACACACACACACACACACACACACACACACACAAAGGACTGGGGCACATCCCAGTGACCTAACTTCCTCCCACTAGGCCCTGTCTCTTAAATGCACCATCACAACCAGTACCACCACAGAGCAGCAAGCAAGCCTTTAACAAAACACGTGGGCATTTGACAAACACTTCCTAGCCATCAAGGTGCTGTTCCTCTCCCATTCCCTCAGATTTGGCTCCAAGGCCCACATGGACAGGCTAGAAGAGGTGAACAAAGAGATAGAGAGCACCAGCACCTACCAGCTCAAGGATACGGAGCTCATCTACGGTGCGAAACATGCCTGGAGGAATGCCGCACGCTGTGTGGGCAGGATCCAGTGGTCCAAGCTGCAGGTAGACGGTGCATAAAGACCTTCTGTGTTCACAAGCGCCCCTGTCCCCCCACCCTGACCAGATCTGTACTCCCTAGCTGTGTCTTATTCAGCCAACGCTCTTTAGTGAAGGAAATTCTCACATCTCTTGGTAAGACTCAGGCTGTCCCATTTGCCACAGACCCTACCACTCCCTATTGCTTACACCTGCTAGAAGGTGTTCATTTCTGTGTCCCCTGGTATGATTTTATTCTAGAGATTCGTAGAGTAGATATTAGGACCAAGGTTTTTTGTTTGTCTGATTAGCACAGATTACATATATAACAGATCGCATGATGACATTTACATATATAGAAAGTATTTTGCTTATGTTCACCCTCCCCTATTATCCCTCCTGAGCCCCCTCCTACTCCCAACTGCCCTCTATCCAACTGCTGTCTATCTCTACTTTTATGGTTTCAAGGGCTTTCTGTTTGCTGTTTAGTGACCCCCTGAGTTGAATCAGGGCTGCTGGCATGAGCATGGTGTGCGGTAGTCACTGGACATCAGCAACTCACCAGTGGCTACACCACTGAAGAGAGTGACTCACCCGCCCCTAGCAGCCATCACCTGCCAACAGCTCCTCAGGGAGGGGCCCTCCCCAGATAGGTTATTGGTCTGATTTCTGTTTGTTTGTTGATCCCTAGTAACTGCCCATTGCAGCTTGTGCCCTTAGCCATCTGCTGCTCTTAGTTGCAGGCTCTCCAAGCCTACTTTGAGGATATTCCCCCAGTTATTAGCATAGAAAAAGGAAATGTAAAATGCAGCCTGGATCTCTGAGATGAGGCCTGGCTATAGGGTGGGGGTGGGGGTCGTAGTTGCAGTGGGCCCCTAGAAAGGATGGAAGGTTTCCCTAGGACTTCCAGGAGCGAGAGGATGGTCTGCAATCCATCATGCACCTCTGCAGGTGTTTGATGCCCGAGACTGCACCACAGCCCACGGCATGTTCAACTATATCTGCAACCACGTGAAGTATGCCACCAACAAAGGGAACCTCAGGTGAGCTGCCCCACGGGGTGCAGTGACTCCTCCCAGCATGGAGTCCCCGCACCGGACACTGCCCTGCTGCCGCCAGGAAAGGCTGGCAGAGGTGACCTGTCAGTCTAACCCCCGACCCTCTTCTGCTGAGACAGACCACAAATAATATCACCTCAGACTGGACTCTCCGTTTCCTGTCACCCAAGGAGAAGGTGGGAAACTGGTTCCGATTCCTGGGAAGAGGAGCATCCCATTGCCCAGGACAAGCAGCTTTCATGATGTCCCATGCAGTTATGTGTAGCTGTCTCCCAACCTCCTGGGATTAAAAAGACTGCACTAGATTTTCTCCTCCCACTGCACTAGGCACCATTTGGGTTCTGCCTCACCAAGCCCCACTTTGGACTCCTGCGCAAGGACAAAAGAATCCAGCTTACAGAAAGCCAACTAAGGCAGGGAGACCCCATGAAAGTGACTTCCACATTGGCCTCTGCTAGGAGCAGCTGGGAGGGAGCCACTGAGGCCCAGCCACAGCTGGCTGCCCTTGTCATTCCTACTGGTAACATCTGCCACAGCTGCTGAGAGCCAGTTCCATCTCAGGGACACCTGAGGCCCCTTCAAGGATATTCCCACAAGCTCCGTCCCCAAGCTGCCCTGGGTTCACACTAAGGTCATTGTCCACCTGGGTGTGGGTTTTCTTGCCACCTGATCCACCAGTAGAAACAGAAATTGGTATTTGTAAGAAGTTCCTATTTAGGACTCTTTCTAAGCAGCCTCGCCCTGAGAGAATATCAAAGAATCTTCTGACATTGGGGCTAGGGAAATGGTTCAGCTGGTTAAGTGTTTGCTGTGTAAGCATGAGGATCTGAGTTTGATCCCACCACTCATAAAAAGGCAGGGCATGGTGGCATGTGCTTGAAATCCCAGTGCTGGGGATGTGGAGACAGGCAGATCCTGGGGCCCCCTGGCCAGACAGCCTAGGCTACTCAGTGAGCCCCAGGGTGAGCGAGAGACTCTGTCTCCAAAAACAAGGTGGATAGCTCCTTGAGGAACTACACCCAAGGTTTACCGCTGGCCTCTACATGCACATGCATACACATACCTGCACACTATGAACGTACATACCTACCCAGCACATTCTAAACCATGAATGGCTGTCCCTGCCAACATTAAGGCCTCATGTTATTTAGAGACTATTCTGGTCATTTTCAAATGGCTGTAAACAGGTGATAGGTCTTCCTTGCCCAAAGAGGAAGACCTGCAGAATGTACCCCAAACTTGGCAGTGAACCTCTATTTTCTCAGTGATCTATTAAGCGGTCTTCATGAGAGCTATTTAAGAGTGGAATACTTTGGTTTTCCTTAGGTTTTAAATCTCAAGTCTGGAAATAAAAGGAAAATCATTTGAGAATGTGCACCGCACACCAAGTTTGTGCCTCATAGAGGATCTGGGGAAGCCGGCGAGGAGGCGTGCCCGTGCTGCCCAGCTTCCTTGGTCTCAGTTCTCACTCAAGGAGGGAGCATCACACCCCGCTCACACTGTTTGGTTCTAGTGTTTCTAAACACACCTCTTAAGTGTCTGTGTGTACAACACACAAACACATTCTGCCCACCCAAAGACACAGCCGTGTGTCTTCACACAGAGGAAACAGCTTGACTCACTCTGTGTCATCTCTGATGTGGCACAGAAGTGTCTGCTGAGAGACATGGAAGATGGCCTTTGACTCCATGAGTCGCCTCCACCCTGACTCTGACCTCACCCCCTGCAACCCCCAAGCCACTTCCCACCTACCCTACAGTAGCAAATGCTACATTCCTTGCCCAAAGAGGAAGACTTGCAAAATGCACTTAGAATGGGGGTCTGTTCCAGTGAACGTCTCTGGGCTTCCGTGTATGGAAGGCGAAATCCAGGCAGGCCTTGGACGTGGACCTGTGACGGCTAGAGCAAGTCCAGGTGAGGGTGGCACACAATGTTGGTGCGTACAGAAGAAGATAAGTCTAGGGTCCAAACTGAACTCAAGGTGTGAACCCTGCCACACATGGCGGCACATACTTGTCATCCCAGCCCTTGGGAGGCTGAAGCAGGAGGATCATAAGTTCAAGGCCACCCCAGGCTACATTGCAAGACCTTGTCTCAAGGATAAAAGTTTTCTGGCTCAGGGTGCATCTTCTCTACCCGCCACCTCCCACAGACTGGGGATTCCAGTGGGGGAGCAGGTCACAGGGCTCCCTCCCACAGCCGGGTCCTGGGCATGGATCTGATCCCTCAAAACCTCAGATGACAGCTTTGCCAGTACATCCTCCAAACAGGAAGTCCCACCTGCTGACCTGTGACCTCTCTTCTCCCCCACAGGTCAGCCATCACTATATTCCCACAGAGGACCGACGGCAAGCATGACTTTCGAGTGTGGAACTCTCAGCTCATCCGCTATGCTGGCTACAAGCAGCCCGATGGTTCCACCCTGGGGGACCCAGCTAACGTGCAGTTCACAGAGGTGAGCGGGGTGCCCCTAGTCAGCCCCCAGCTGGGTTCTTTGTCCCCCACATTTTTTCCAGTTTAACATTTTCCTCCCAGAGGGAACAGCCAGCAGGGAACACAGGGCATTCTTCTCTAGACCATCTTCCCCACTTGACAGCCCTCAACCCTGTCCTGGTTCCATTACAGTCATCTGGTCACTTTCATACCCCAATCTTCCTAGTAGAAACTACTGTCCCATTTCAGAGTTGAGTAGACTGAGTCTTGCCAGTGCCAAGTGGGTTATACAGGGCTACTGAGTAGAGAGACAGCTAGACTCACACCAGGAGGGATGTTACCAATAGAAGCCAGGTGGAGTGTCCCCTTTCCTAAGCTGCTACTATGCCCAACTCACATGGTTCATTTGTGTGTTGATCAATAGTTTGAACTGCCAACCCTTCTCAAAGCAAGCTAAACTCTCCCAGGTACCAACATGCCACGATTGCAGGGAACCAAAGTCAGTTCAAAAAAGCCACCTAGAAGATGATGGGTACCACTATCTCCCTTCCCCTGTCACTTCCAGGTAGTCATGGCAACAGGTAATACAGGGCAGAAACAGTATCACAAGGATTGTGCCTATTGGGTAACTACAACAGATGCCCCATGTCCACGTCCATCTTTACTCAACAACCCCAACCCGGCTTTACTCCCTTCTCCCATATCACTGACTTCATTTGCATATGGCTTTTCCTATTAAAATGTGATGATCCAGAGAACAGGGCTGTAACCAGGGCAACCAGAAGCAGCACCTGTGCACTCTGAGGCTCAGCCAGACTCCTTCCTCTTGGCTGAGCTCTAACCGCTAACTGTGTACTTGGCTGACCTTGCCTCCTGCTTAGCAGAACATAAACTCATGCTACAACCTCTTCTGCCCCTCTGTGTCCAGGACCTTCCCTGACCAGCATGTTTTCTACTGAACCCAAGATGTGGGACCTCTGTCTCTACTCACACAGCACAAAGAGACATCCCAAAGCTGTTGGCATCCTTATATGCTCCTATCCCTCATACCCTGGGCTATAGGAATGGTGGCCACCAGCCACATGTGGCTGTAAGCCCTCCACATAGCTGGCCACAACCAGGAGGTACTAATGAAAATACACACCAGGTCTCTAAGATGGAGCACAAAAAATGGAGGGAAAGAGCTTAGTGATAATCCTCATCCTGAGTACATTTCAAAATGATATATTAATAAATTAGCAAACCTATTGGATTAAATTATTTAATTTTAATAGCAAATATATTGTTTGAATATATTCATTTTAAACATTTTATCACTATTTATGGACCATGTGGCGCACCCTTATAATCCTAGCACTTGGGAGGCTAAGGTAGGAGGGTACTGAGTTTGAAGCTAGCCTGAGCTACATATTGAGACTGCCTCAAAAACAGAAATAAGGCTGAGGAGATGGCTCAGTAGGTAAAGTAAAGCAGGTAAAGACCTGAGTCTGGATCCCCAGCACCCACACAAAAAGCTGGCTGTGATGGTACTAGATGACGGGCCAGTCAAGCCAAATCTGTGAGCTCTAGGTTCAGTGAGAGCCCCTTCCTCAAAAGGTAAGGTGGAGGGGACTAGAGAGATGGATCAGCAGTTAAGAGCACTGACTGTTCTTGCAGAAGACCTGGGTTCAATTCTCAGCACCCACATGGCAGCTAACAACCATCCGTAACTCTGGTTCCAGGGAATCCAATGCCCTCTTCTGTCCTCCACAGGCATTGCATGATGTGAATTCCCTTACATACATGCAGGCAATAGGTGCATACACATAAAATAAAAATAATAAATAAAATATTTTTTAAAGTAAGGTGGAAAGCAGCTAAGGAACATACTAAATGTTGACCTCTGACTTCCTACAAACATAATAAATTAATGTTGATATTTAATGTATCTTATTATGTTCTATATCACATAGATTTGCTATATTAGATAGGGGCCAGGCATGGTGGCGCACGCCTTTAATCCCAGCACTTGGGAGGCAGAGGCAGGTGGATCTCTGTGAGTTCGAGGCCAGCCTGGTCTATATAGTGAGTTCCAGGACAGCTGGGGCTATAGGGCAACCCTGTCTCAAAAAGACCAAAAAAAAAAAAAAATTAGATAGATAAATGTGATCTAATTTTAATGTCAAATGTCTGATTAGAACACAGTAGTCATACTTTAATACATTGATAATAAAGTATTCATATAAGGTATATTGTTGCATATAAAATTCGTAGTATGCTAATGAATGAGTTCCACCACTTGTTTCTTTAGCAAGGCTGCTAGAGCACTTTAACTCCTGCTGCTCTCACTGTGGGCCTACGGGCAGTTCTGCTAACATGTGTGTTTTATACAGTGAGCCACAGTGCTGGGAGATTTTCTTTACATGTTACAGCACTTAATGCCACACACACAGAGCCAACCTATGGGGTATGCCACAGTCCGTCACTCAACTCTCATCCTCCGTTTGTGTCCAGTGGACACTGGAGACCCTTGCTGGAAATCAGGGCTGACCTGTGTCCCATGCAACCTTAAAAAGTTGTGCCGGTTCATAGTGAGGTCAGGCCTGATGTGTGGAGGGTGGGGCAGAGATGTGACAATGCTCTGTTTGTAGATCTGCATCCAGCAGGGCTGGAAACCCCCAAGAGGCCGCTTCGACGTCCTGCCTCTGCTGCTCCAGGCCAACGGCAATGATCCTGAGCTCTTCCAGATCCCCCCAGAGCTGGTGCTGGAAGTGCCCATCAGGCACCCCAAGTAAGAGGGACTTCCTGGGGGATCTCCCCAATGGTCCTTTCTACCCATCTGGTGCTCCTTATCCCCAGTCTCTCCAGCCCCAACAGGCAAGAGGGATCCTGACTGTCAGCTAGGACAGAAGGGGGTCCTTCTGGGCCAGGCTGAGCTATCAGACTCACCCTACTCCTAAGGAACCCCATGACCTGCCCCTTGACCATCCCTTCAGGTCATAAGAGGGTCATAAACAGCACCTACTATCTCACTGTGGGTGCAGGCATTTCAATAGAGCAAGCTGCTTAAAGTGACTGACCCTGTGTGGCTCAGGTTCAAAAAGAATCTGGAGCCCAAAAGGAGCTGGGGGGCTAAGGCCAGAGATACAGTAGGGGGAGGGGAGAATTTTCACTTTAAGAGTGAAGGAAATCTAGGGATCAGCTGGTAAAGGCACTTGCCGCCAAGCCTGGCATCTTGAGTTCAACTGGAACCACATGGTGGAGGAGAAAACAATTCCTGCGCATTGTCCTCTGACCTCCACACACATGCCCTACGGCATGTGTACCTGTACACACACACACACACACACACACACACACGCGCACGCGCGTGTACGCAAATTAATTAATTTTTAAAAGAGTGGAAAAAAAGGCCACAGTAAGGTACTAGACCAGGGGCAAAACCAAGGGAAGTTGCTAAGGAACTTAATTAGATAAGTAATATGCAAATGCAGTAGATCTTAGAAATCAAGGTATTTTTTTAATCTGGGTTGAACTATATGCCAGCATTTTAAATAAAAAAGAATTCAGCTCAGAGTTGATATTACAGTGTGCCTAGCTACGGAAGTACACAAGATGGTGCCTATTTATAGAGGGTTTTTTACTTTTTAATGTCTATTTTTTAAAAACATTGGATTAATTTAAAATGTCACATATTTATATACAAATAATGATGCTGATCTTGATGACCAAGTTTCTGTGGGTTGGGGTGCTACAGTTTTGCACCTGGCACTAGTATCTCACCTGCCTTGCCCAAGCCTTGTCCCTGACAGGAAGTTCCTGTCCTGAGGGCCCTGGTATGTCGGAAGAAACCCAGACTGCTTAGTGAAACTTGGCCTTTATGTGTTCATTCCTTGGCCTGTTCAACACAGTCTGTAATCCCCATTCCAGTCAAGCATGGTGCTAGCTTTGGGGCCTATATGTCCCTGCTGCAGTGATTTGACTGTGTCCAAGAGGGCAAGATCTTAGACACACAATTCCTTAAATATCCAGTGGCAGCCAAGAAGAAATAGAGAGTCAGTGGACCCAACTGGAAGGTTTCCCAGAGTGGGCATTATTTTAGTTAGTAAGTAAGAGATGGAGGTGCAAAAAAGAGAATGGCTTCGGAGTGACGGTTCCACACTTCCTCCTGGACGCTCTCAGAGAGGGTATGCAATAGCAACTCTAAGCAGTGGTCCCAGGCAGGGATGTTCAACACTGCTACATGGGAAGCCCATGCTCAAAATGCCCAGCTGTGGAATCTGTGATTCAGGAGAGGTAAAGTCAGGGCCCAGGAATCAGGTTTGCACCTAGGCCCAGTGGACACTGAATCTATGAGCATCCAGTCTGGAGATGTTCCACCCATGTGTCCACTTGGGAGACACCTGCCCTGTACTGAGCTGGGCCTCATTGCTCTTTGCAGGTTTGACTGGTTCAAAGACCTAGGGCTCAAGTGGTATGGGCTCCCTGCTGTGTCCAACATGTTACTGGAGATTGGTGGCCTGGAGTTCAGTGCCTGTCCCTTCAGTGGCTGGTACATGGGCACAGAGATCGGCGTCCGTGACTACTGTGACAGCTCACGCTACAACATTCTGGAGGTGAGATCCCTCACTGGTCCCCATGAGAGGGATATATGATCAGAGGGTGCCACTCAGCAGCTTTGGAGCTGGGAGACTGAACAGAGTTGGGACAGAATTGCAATCTTGGTGAACCTTCTAGAAATCCTAGAAGCATTATGTCTTTCCCAGTGATGATCGCAGTAGCAAACTCATATGTGGCCCATGCCACAGAAAACACTGCTTTAAGTACCCGGGGAGTTTTCCCTCGAGGTCCACTGAGGATGAGCCCTGGACTCTTCAGATATCAAAATCTGCAACTGGACTGAGGAGATGGCTCAGTTGGAAAAGTGCTTATACTTCCAGCATGAGGATTTGAGTTCAATTCCCAGAACTCGAATGTTTTAAACCCAAGCATAGTGGCATGTGCCTGTAATCCCAACACTAGGGAGGTGGAGCTAGGGTGGCTCTCTGGGTCTCCCTAGCCCCAACCTGACTTATTTGGTGAGTTTCAGGCCAGTGAGAGACCCTGTCCCAAAAAACAAGGTGCCTAGCACCTGAAGAACAATACTAACTAACACTGAGGCTGTTCTCTGGCCTCCATGCATGTACACACACACACACACACACACACACACACACACACACACACACAATCCATTGCTGCCCAAGTCCCATATATAAAATGATCCACTATTTATATGAAACCTACACATACCCTCCCATATGTTGAAACCTCTTCTAGCTGGCTTATGATACCGGATGTACTACAGGCGCCGTGTACACGCTGTATAAATGGCTGTCACTCTGTGTAGTTTAAGGAATGGTGACAGGGGAGATGACTGTACCTGCTTTGAACAGATGCAGTTCTTTTGAATGTCTTGGTCTAGGGTAGTCTGACCCTGCAGATGAGGAATTCGTGGGTGTAGAAGACTGACTGCAGGAGTCCTGCAGGATGTGTGTGTTTGAGGCAATTGGGGCTTCTGGTTGCTTGTTTTTTTCTAGTACTGAAGATTGAACTGAGATCCTTGAGCATACTAGGCAAGTACTCCACCACTGAACTATATCCCCAGCCCTGTTTTTGTCTGGGAGTGGGGATAGATTTGTTTGTTTGTTTGTTTGTTTGTTTTGATTAATTTGTCAACAAGTGTTGTCTCTAGCAACAAGCTGTAGCTGTTGGCCTTGTTTTCAAAAAAGGCTACAAAGAAACAGAGAAGTTAAGAACATTTAATCATTCAGTAAATCAGATAAAGTCAACATTAGAACTCAGAACAAAGCATTAGGGTCATGTCGATAAAATCAATCTATTTTACTCAGCTATGAACCCTGTGAGCTACACATCAAAAAAGTTTTTTTAGCAACAGATGGAGACCATTACAGAGTTCCACAAGTGGTCAAACACAGAGAATAAGAGTTTGTGAGGTGCCCAATCCTACGTGACACAGCTACACTGCAACCTCGACACCCAAGGCTCATGGAACATGGTGGAACAGGGAGCAGAAAGAATATTAATGCATCTCTCAACTCTCACCAGCAAAGCTTCCTCATGTAACAGAGGGTGGTTAACACAGAAAGCCACAGCTGGCCAAAATGTAGAGCATAAGAGACTGCAGAGTGTGTGTCCCTGGATAGGACTCCTGTAGTAAACCTCTGCCACCCAGGGCTTGGGGGCGGGGCATTGTGGAAGAGGAAGTAAAAGCCAGGGGTGGTGGATGACCACAAGGAAACAGTTTTCCAGGCTGCTGGGAACTTGCTCATATGAACTTACAGCAATGGTGACAGCGTGCACAAGACCCATGCAAACTCGAACCAGACAAAAACCCAGCATAGAAGTGGGGAAATGGGCAGGAGGCCCCAACCTTAGCTGAGGAACCATTGGCAGCTGATCACTTCTGGGTGAGGCAGAGTTGGTCTTCTTTAAGGGAGTGACGCTAGATAGGCTGACTAGGCTCCAGTGCATGACTTCACATGGAGGGACATCTGGGGACACAAACTTGACTTGATAAACCTTAACATATGTGACAGAATGCATGATCTCCCATGAGGAGGCTATAGAAGGGTGCAGATAGGGGCATGGGTCTAAATATGATTAATACACCTCATATGAAATGCACAAAAATTCAATACATATATATATAAATTTTTAAACTGTCCTGGCAAGATACGCCCACTAGTGCAAGAGTAGCATGAACGTTATATGAGTAACTAACCCTTTTCTCACTGGATTTAAGACGCAGTTCATGAGGTGGAACCTGTACCTGGCACCACTACAGGGGCCAAGAACCTCAGGCTAGATAGTCCTGGGGCCATGGGCCCTAGGGGAGACCCTACTAGTAATATCCTACTAAATGGAATAGTGTCGAAAAGACTCTAATGACTTCTTGTTATGCCCATACATTAGTGCACCCCTCAACCCCCATCAGAGAAACAACTTGCAGTAAAAAGCACTTATCACAAAGATAGCTGGCCAATATGCAAAGTATAAGAGACTTCAGATACCCAGGCCATCCCAAAGACCAACAGCATAGGTAATAATGGGGTCCAGGCACCATGAAACCTCCCAGGTAACCCCAAGTCACAACAAGGCAAAGGGTCTGTGGTGACTGCTTTCCACAGACATCCGTGGATTTGGGATTTTGTTTTGTTTTTCATTTTGTTTGTTTGTTTTATTTTGTTTTATTATGTAGCCCTGCTGGTCTGGAACGTGATATATAAGTCAGGCTGGCCTCAAACTCACAGAGATGCCTCTGCCTCTGCACCCCAAGTACTAGAATTAAAGGCATATGCCACCACAACTGGTCATTGGGTTTTGTTTTGTTCTTTTTGACACAGGAGCTCCTGTAGCCCAGGCTAGCCTTGGACTTGCTATGTAACTGAAGATGACCTTGAACTCCTGACCATCCTGCCTCTACCTCCCAAATGGTACCATTGCCGTCACATCTGGTGAAATCAGTGAATTTTTTCCCCGTTTAAAAATTATTGATTCTTTGAGAGGTTCATACAATGTATTTTGATTGTATCCCCTCTCCCCTAATTCCTCCCAGATCCACCCCCACCTCCCTACCCACCCACTTTCATATTCTTTATTTTCCCCATCCAGTTCAATTTGTGTTGGCCAAATACTCTTGGGTGTGGAATTTGCCCTTAGGAGTGGGGCATGGTACCTACCTTCCCCTTCCATGCTGGGATTTTGTCTGGCTTGAGTTTGAGCAGGTCTTGTGCATATTGTCACAACTGCTATGAGTTCACATGCACACCTGCCCTGCTGTCTGGAAAACATTCTTTCTTTGTCGTCACCCCCACCTCTGTTACAATCTTTTTGCCCCCTCTTAGAAGAGTCTTGAACCTTGAGGGGAGGGATATGTTCCATTTAGGTCTGTGGTGTGGCCTGAGTATTCTCATTTTTCAAAGCTCCCCAGACTATCCCACTGGGTAGGTAACAGTATCTACAAACCTCTAAAAACACGTCGGGCAGTTTCCATGGAGGCGCTTCAGTGACAGACACCTGGGGTTGTTTTGTTGTAGGGTTTTTTTAAGTCATAAAGGTCTTTTCAACTAATTTTTATTCTTTTAATCAAAATACTGCTGCAGAACACCCTGGCTGTACACATTTCCTCTTTCAGAAACTCACCAGGACTTTAGACAGATTTATGTAAAGCAGGAACAGTTTTTCTTTCTGCAAATGTATTTCGGATTTGGATGGATCCAAGCCGAACTGAAAGGCCCAGCCTCAAAGACAGAATTAATAAACCCACTTTGTGAGGATGCGCTTGCAAAGAGGAGTCACTGTGTAGCTTAAGTGAGAGATTCTGCCATCCAGGCCCTCAGTTCCAGCTGCTGTCACACCCAAACGTCAGCTTGGGCTGGGGAGCAATTTACTCAAACCAAGCAATGGTTGCATCCAAGCTTGGTAATGAGACCTGGGCTCCCACCAGTGTCTAACCTTGACAAAGTGAGGACAAGACAGAGCTTTAATTAAGAACTCTGCCGCTGGATCTCCTCTCTGTGACATTGGTGCCTCCTTCTGCTTTATCGAACCCTAAACACCAGGACTCATTTCTTTCAAGCAATTTTGCTAGAGCTTTGGTGGCTTCAGAAGCAGCTGGCTCCCAGGTCTCAAGGAACCCCTGAGTTCCTTCTTCTAAGACCAACTGTCTTTGTGGTTCTTGGACAAGTCCAGGTACTTCTCTGGGGCCTCAGTTTTCCCATCTGTCAAGTAGAGTCTGCCAAATGTCCACGTGCGCTCAAAACACTCATGGTCTTGACTCTTAATAACAAATGCTCCCGGGATGGAGTAAGAAAAGGGAACCTTTTCCCAGGAGGAAACAGGTGACATCACCCCCAGGCCCACTCTCAAATTAAAAACCTTCCTAAGAACCCTGTTGCATAAGATGCTAACTCCTTCAAGGTCCAAGACCATCCAGCTCTGCCTCTTTGTCAGGCAGCCCAAGCCTGATACCACATCTTGCTGTTCTCTCTGCCTCTCCTGTTCCATCCCCAGCTGTGCCAGTCAGGATCTAGCCACCTGTTATTACTTAAGCCTCTCCTTTATGTCACCCCACAGTGTGCCTGCCCCAGTTCTCTTCTTCTCACTTCCTCATCATAAGTCCTTGCTAGGAGTCAGCACTGGCCACCTTATAGTCCTCCTTATAGACATAGTCCTCCTCCATTAGAACATGAGCTTACTCTCTTTAGTTTTCAACTGGGTTGTAAGTAGCAAACCTTTTGAGCCAGTAGTGAGTCAGTGGGCCCATGAATGGATTGAATGATAAATTAAGAATCCATTCATGATGCCCACTGTCTTCTGTCTGGTTCAGTGCCCAGCCTGTGAGTCTTCATCTTCTTCCTTCTTCCAGGAAGTAGCCAAAAAAATGAACTTGGACATGCGGAAGACGTCCTCACTATGGAAGGACCAGGCGCTGGTGGAGATCAACATTGCTGTTCTATACAGCTTCCAGGTAGTCCTGGGGCCTCATTGCCAAGGTCAAGCCTCAGAAGGGAGAGGGGAGAAAATCTCCCAGAGAGTCTTCTGCACAGAGGGTCAAGAGACCTGGCTAGAAAAATCCACTTTGTGGGGGGCTGGGGCAATGGTCAATAATGCGCTTGCTTCACATGCATGAGGACCTGAGTTTGACCCCCAAATTCCACATAAAAAGCCAGAACGACACAATGGCACATGCTTGTAATCCCAGCAATGCAAAGATAGGAGGCAGAGTCAGGCAGATCCCTGGAAACTCAGGGGTCAGCCAGTCTTAGCTGGCAAAGTTCCAGGACAATGAGGTACCCTGTCTCAAAAAGTCGAAGGTACCTGAGAACACCCAAGGTTGTCCTCTGACTTACACACACACACACACACACACACACACACACACGAACACCCCCCCAAAATATTCACCTTTGGGCACGTCTATCCTCCAGTGTGACCTACTTTCTGTCCACATGCCTTCTGGCCTTGGTGGGATGAACATTTGATGCAAAGATCAGGAAAGAAGGTCCAGACCTGTGTCTTTGGATTCTTTAGAGTTGTGATGACAGGTAGCTCTGCCTTGCCATCCCTTAGAGACTTACACTATCACACCACAGTGGTGGATGACACTCATCCCCATGCTCAGAACACTATAGACCCCTGGGAAGCAGTATTATAGGAGAATGAATAGAAAATAAGTTACTTAGGCCATCATGCTTTTGAACTAATAATTATACCAGAATAACAGGTATAAACCAGATTCTCTGCAGTCACTCTGGGGACTAGAAAAAACAAGATCTGCCTGGTGAGGGGGGCTGCTCAGTCTGAGCAGAAGATGAGCATGTTAAATCAAACCATGGTGGACATGAATAAAGCACCCCCCCAAGGAACATCATAGGGCAGAGATCTGTGGTGAGGGTGGAGGAAGAGGCTACCTCCCAGGGATATTTAGGGAATTGTTCAAATGATGGCCCATGTCTCATGTCCCTGATGGAAACACCCAGGATATAGATGAAATGAGGGCTGGGAAGGAGGAATAGGGACCTCATCTATTGACAACCTGTGAACCTGAATGTCAGCCCCAGCCTGAGCCACACATACAGTCTGCCCACCTCAGTGCTGACTTACTCTTTTGATCTTTAATCAACTGATCCTTATTACCTTAAAACTTTGTAAATTAGGGGCCTGGAGAGATGGCTCAGAGATTAAGAGCACTGGCTGTTCTTGCAGAGGAGCTGGGTTCAATTCCCAGCACCCTTATGGTGGCTAACAACCATCAGTAACTCCAGTTCCAGGGGATCCAACATACTCTTCTGACCTCCATGGGCACTTCATAACATGGGTGCACTTACACACATGCAGGCAATACACTCATAATAAGTAAATATTTTTAAACTTTGTAAGTTAAAGGAATTTTTATTTCATTTCTATAAATGTTATAGAAGATAATTAAAATATTAGATAAATAAACATAAGGAAAACAAAGCAAACATGTGAGTCCAGCTAGCTACTGCCTGAGGATCCTCCTTCCAATTAAGGAGGAAGACAGATATGATTGACAAGAAATGATCCCTGAGCCTTGAGAGGAAGGGACTGGAATGATTGTAAGAGTCAGAGGGGCTGAATGAATAAAAGGAAACCATGTTTTCCGGCAAAACACGGCAGCTGAACATATGAACTCACAGCACTTGTGACAGCATGCACAAGACCTGTGCAAGGCCAAGCCAGACAAAAACCCAGTACGGAGGGGGGAGGTGGGCGAGAAGCCCCAGCCCTAGCTGAGGATCTATTGGCAAGTGATAGCTTCAGGAAGAGGGAGAGTCAGTTTTCTTTAAGGATTATACCAGGTAGGTTGACCGCAGGCTCTCAGGGTTGGACTTACACTCAAGAGCATTTGGGGAACACAAATTAGATTCAATAGACCTTAAAAATAAAAGAATAGAAGACAGGAAGTAAGGAGGGTAGGAAGGTCACTGAATCTGAGAGGACATGGGGGAGGGGTTCTGAGTGAGGGGGCCTGAATACGATAAAAATACACTGTATGACATTTTCAAAGAATCAATTAAATATTATTTTTAAAAATAGATTGACAAGAAAAGCCTTACAGACACACTGGGAGCAAGCAGAGCCTTTCTCCTACAAAGACTTAATGAGCTTTGTGCTTAGACTCATCTCCAAGGCAGCCTTTTGGGAGACTCTACAGAGAGGGTCCCACTCCTCACACCATCCTTCCCCTCTGGCTCCTTGTTCCCTCTTCTTCTGCAGAGTGACAAGGTGACCATCGTTGACCATCACTCAGCTACTGAGTCCTTCATCAAGCACATGGAGAATGAATATCGCTGCCGAGGGGGCTGTCCGGCCGACTGGGTGTGGATCGTGCCCCCCATGTCAGGCAGCATCACTCCTGTCTTCCACCAGGAGATGCTCAACTATCGACTCACCCCATCCTTCGAATACCAGGTCCTGCCCCACCTCATCCTGGGCCAAGTCTTCCCAACCCGCAGATCCCATCTGCATTTGGGCCAGCGCTGTGGATGCACACGTGTCCAATAGTTTACAAGACTCACACAGTCAGGAAATGGGCATCCAGGAAGAAGAAAGGCATACTCACCCAGGAAGAGTCTGAGCTGGGCATGGTGGCACACACCTAGAATCCCAGAACTCAGGAGGGCTGAGACTGAAGGATGGCAAGTTAAAGTCGGCCTGGGCTGCATAGCCAGACCCTAGCTCTAAAACAAAACCCAGAGTTTGACTGAGTCATGGTGCATGCCTTTAATCTCAGCACTGGGTGATTGGGGGGAAGGTAGAGGCAGATGGATCTCTGTGAGATCAAGGCCTGCCAAGTCTATATAGCAAGTTCTGGGTCAGCTGGGGCTACAGAGAGACCCTGCCTCAAAAAAAAAAAACAAAAACTAAAACAAAAAAACCCCAGAGTTTGAAGGGACTGAGCAGGAATAGCCAATGGGACAATGCAGGGAGGCTGCACCCATCACCCTGTGTGGAACACCTGTGGCCACCCCAGCTGCATCCCAATCTTGTGGGACTGAGGGAGCCCCCGGTATCTCCAGGTGGGACTGAAGCCCCTCGGGCTGTGATCAGTATGTGATCAGTTGTTTCTCTTCCCAGCCTGATCCATGGAACACCCACGTGTGGAAGGGCACCAACGGGACCCCCACAAAGCGGCGAGCCATCGGCTTCAAGAAACTAGCGGAGTGAGTGCCCTGCACTGGGGGATGGAGGGATACACCCACAAACTGAGAGTGTCTGGGGCAGGGGGAGGCCAGGCAGGTGCTACTCCCTGCCCCACATTTCTGCTCCCATATGTGTTTTCTAACTGCACCTGGAATGTGGATGATGGCCGGCTCTTCTCAGCCTAGCTGTCCTTGTCCTTGTCCTGGTTTTCTAAATGCACCTGCTGGCAGTGCTGGTATGTTGGTGAACCGGCAATAGGAATGGTGACAGTGTGGCTAGTTTGTAACATTCACCAGTTCCCATGGTGTAAATCTTCCCACAATGGCCAGTTTCAACAGGCATCCTGAGTCCAGGGTAGAAAGGATTTGGGGTGAGTCAACTCCAGGACCCACTACCCAGAAAGCACTCATGTCTGATTTCATGCTCATTCATTCATTCAGCCACCACATAAACACCACGCACATTCCCTGTACAGGGTTCCAGGGATGTCACGGGGAGCCAGGCAAATGTGGTTCCTAGTCTTGGGAATCTCACAGCTTTCATTGGCCACATGAATGCAGTAAGCACTACAACTGTGGCAGGTGCACTGCAGCGTGGTTCAGGGCACCATAAAATAGACACCACCAAGTTTGGAAAGTTAGGAGGGGCTTCCCCAAGGTGGAAGCAGTTGAGCTGAAGAATGAGATGAATGAGGGTTAGCCAGCCAGGACTAGCAGAGGACACCTAGGATTAGAAACCAAGTCAGGAGGATGAAGGGGTCAAAGCCAAGGGACTGAAGGGATGGCTCAGAGGTTGAGCGCGCATACTGCTCACAAATGCCTGTAACTCCAACTCCAGGGGATCCAACACCCACTTATGGTCTCCGACATGCACATACCCTCACCCAGACATAAACATACAGGTAATTAAAAGGAAAAAATAATAGTAATAATAGGAGCCAGAGAAATGACTCAGTGGTAAAAGAGTGCTTAGTGCTCTTGAAGAAGACCCAGGTTTGGTTTCCAACACCCACATGGAGACTTACAACCACCCGTAGCTCCAGTTCTGGAAGATCCAGTGCCCTCTCTGGCCTCTGTAAGCTCGTGCATACACATGGTACACATAAAACTCATACAAGCATGCACACACGTGCGCGCGTGCACACACATACACACACACACACAACACATGCAGATTAATTAATTGTAAAGCAAAAGTTTTAAAGTCTATTTTTTTTAAGTTCAAGGTCTTCTTGGGCTACATAACAATACCCTGTCTTTAAAAATATTATTATTGGGGGGCTGGAGAGATGGCTCAGTGCTTAAGAGCACTGACTGCTCTTGCAGAGGACCTGGGTTCAATTCCCAGCGCCCACATGGCGACTACAAACCATCTTTAACTCCAGTTCCAGGGGAATCCAAAACCCTTTTCTGACCTCCACAGCATTGCACAATACGGGTGCACTCACGTACATGCAGGCAATACACTCATACACATAAAATAAAAATAGTAAACGAAAAAAGAAAGAAACTTTCAAACCCTCAAATAATCAGCAGTCAGCTTGGACTAAAATCAGAGAGAACAGGACATAAATGAATCCCTCCACTTCTATCACATGGTCCTTTAGCTTCTTAAGTTCTGGGACACTTGGGAGCATATATATTTGATATATATATATATGAATATATATATATAATTGATAATTAAGCTTAAGTGAACGGGAGGCGATGGACCAAGACATCGAGATATCTTTTTCTAGGCAGGGTCAACTTGGCATGAAAGGTGTGGCCCACCAAGATGATTTAATGGAGTCACCAGCTTTTTACCCAAGAAAGAAAACCCCACTGATCCACTCAGCGGGGACCCCTGCTTGGCAGAACACACATTTTTACAAACTGAGATAGCTTGTGACCAGCCCCCAGATTCCAGAACTCTCTCTGTGTGGCACCTAGGTGTGCAGCAGGTGCCATTTACACTGGGAACCCCAGTCTACCTTGGGATACAATGTCTATCTTGGAGGACCAGGCCCCATGAACTTGACCCCTTGAAGATAGTCTTTGTCTCTGTCTCTCTCCTTCCCCCTCTCTCCCTCACTCCCTCACTCCCTCCCTCCCTTCCTCCCTCCTTCCCCCAACCTCCAGCCAATATGAGCTTGCCAGCCACCTCTTTGCTTTACAGAGTACGCAGAACATTCTCAGCAAGAACAACCTTTGGCTACAGTTCAGTTGGGGGCTCCAGGAAAGGAAGGCAGAGGGAAATGTAAAACATTAATTGCGCTATTAAGTTCAGGGTGGAAACAATGTGAGTTAATTATAGATGCGCTTTATACTGCTAGCCTTCCAAGGGAACCCTCCAGGCAACTTTTATTCCTCTCAGGTTCCTCCCCTGAGCTCAGAGCCTTCCTGCAGCGTGGGTGGTTTTCCCAATTTTAAAAAATGATAAAGTTACCGTGAATAAGCCCCAGGTGGGATATAGTAATTTGTCTACGTGGAGATTCCTAGTAAGAACTGGGGAAAGAGTTCGGGTTGAGCCTAGGTATATCCAAGTCTGTGTCTGTCTGCCAGCCCTGACCTGCCTTTTCCCTGGTTTCAGGCTCTCCTACTAGAGAGGCCACACTCGATATTAAACGTCCTCCCGCTCAGAAGCAGCATCTTTTAAAATTCATCGCTTCTTTTGATAGGTGTTTGATATCAATCTAAATATTATGGACAGATTGTCTATCAGGTACCAGACTCCATGAAAAACTTTGGGTGTGTATTGCTAAATAAACTAGTCTGGCCCTGCATTTGTAAATGTTAAAACCACTGAAGTTAGGCAGGCAAGATGGCTCGGTGGGTAGAAGTGCTTACTGCCAATCCTGATGACCTGAATTTTGATCTCCAGGACTCATATGCCAGAAAGAGGGAACTGACTCCCACAGGTTGTCCTCTGACCTCCACACATGTGCTGTGGCGTGCATACATGTCCATACATATACATACACACAAAAGAAAGAAAGAAAGAACTCTATAGTCCTTCTACCTCAGAGCCTAGAAATTATTGGGGATTAGTCTACTATATAAAATCTATTTCCCAACCACACACACATGCACAGGAATACAGTACCTGCTTGTCCCCAAGCTAGAGCCTCTGGGTTCCTCTGTTGTCATGCTTGGCACACTGGTAGGCGTTTGACAAATATTTCATACATGAATGGACATCCTTCAAGGCAATGTTTGGCCAAGCAAGGTTCTCAGACTGGGAACAATTATTCAAATAACCAAGCCACCAACTTGGGGATTTTATGAACAGGTCAATGTGGTTCTGAACTCTGGGAGAGCTGCGTGTCCCTCAGGGGCTCCTGGGAGCAATTGATGATCAAGAGTAAACGCTCTCTAGTCCTGTCTCATGGACCGTGGTTCTGCCTTCATATGTCCCTTTTCTTTTTCTCATTTCTCTCCATCTGCTCCCCCACAGAGCCGTCAAGTTCTCAGCCAAGCTGATGGGCCAGGCCATGGCAAAGAGGGTCAAAGCAACCATTCTCTATGCCACAGAAACCGGCAAATCACAAGCCTATGCCAAGACTTTGTGTGAGATCTTCAAGCACGCCTTTGATGCCAAGGTAAGTGGAGCCAGTGCCAGCTGCCCGGCCCCTCTGGTAAATGAAATCAGGAAAGGGGGAGCAGGAGGTCAGTGGATAAGACTAACCATTGCACTGTGGATAAAAGTGCCCCCAAGGATGGTCAACCATGCACACACACACACACACACACACACACACACACACACACACACATTTGCTTACATTTGCTTACATGGTGTCTTCGCTCCCAGGAATCCAGGAATACACATGAAACCCCATCTCTATAACAAAATGTAAATGGATTGGTTAGAATCCATGATGGGGTCAGTGTGGGAAACTGCGTTAAACATGATTCCATGCAGTTCACTGATGCAGGACTTGTCAGAGCCTTTAATCTATGAATATGTGTTAGGTTTTCAAGAGGAAACAATAAGCCATAAACTTTTCCCAAATGTATCTAACCATGGGTCACTTGTTCTCATGGAGCATCTTGGAAGACAGGAGTTCCTCATAATATCCAAATGATGCTAAAGTACAGGCCACCATCTTTCCCTGATGTGGGCATCTCAGCCTCAAGCAGCTCAGGGGCTCTGCAGTGCTGAAGGCTAGATCAGAGAAAAGATTGAGCAAGCCAATTCAGATGCTGCCAGGTCACTCCTAGCCTCACCATGGTCAGAAAGACTCCAAGATCAGGTGGGCATGAGAAGTCCAAAGGTCCAGGGCTGGGGACATGGCTCAGTGGTTAAAGCACTTACCACTGTGAGGACCAGAATTTAGATCCCAGGCCATATAAATGCCAGGTGGGCATAACAGCCCATCTACAATCCCAGCATGTGGAAGCAGAGATGGGACCCCCAGAGCAAGCAAGATAGATAGACTAACCAAGTAAGTGAGCTCTGGATTCAAGTGAGAGAGGGAGACTCTGCCTCAGAAAATAAAGTGGAGAGCAATCAAGGAAGGCACTCAATGTCGAGCTGTGGCCTTCAAATACATGCACATGCATGAACATGCATACACACTACACATGTATACACATACCACCATACATATAAACATACATGCACACCACACACACACATACACATGTAAAAATGTCCAAGCATCTCCATAAAGATCAACTCTCCAGGTGTGGTGTCAGCATGCCTTTAATCCCAGCATTTAGGAGACAGAGGCAGGAAGATCTCTAAGTTCAAGCCAGCCTGGTCTACATAGCAAGTTCAGATCAGTCAGGGCTACATAGTGAGGCCCTGTCTAAAAAAAACTCTCCTGACAGCTACCCCATTGGAACAGAGTCCCAGATTCCCATAATCCTTCAGGTCTAACAAGACACCGTGCCATGAGAAGCCTTCATTGCTCGAATACTGCCCACCCAGACCATTGGGTCCCCATCAAGGAGATGGCTTGGGACAACTCAGCCTCTTCTTTCTCTCCCTTCATGACTTTCTGATGTCTCCTAGTCCCCACTCACCTCTTCCCCCCCCCCAGGCAATGTCCATGGAAGAGTATGACATTGTCCACTTGGAGCACGAAGCCCTGGTCCTGGTGGTGACCAGCACCTTTGGCAATGGAGACCCCCCAGAGAATGGAGAGGTGAGAGGGGCTTCCCCTATCCCCAGGAGGAAGGAGCCACAGCTGGGACCTCTCCACATACCTGCTACTCAGAGGCGAGCCCTCTCAGAGGCCAGGACTTTGACTTAATCCAACTTAGGCAGACAGGACAATAGCATGCTCTGTCTATTGGTGTTTCCTGGTTAGGGCCTAAATCCCCTAAGTGAGCTATATGTTTAGAAAGGGTGCTCCGATCCTGAGGCTAGTGTACCTTACTCAGTCATGGGGGTGATATTTTTATACAGGGAAGGCCACAACAGAAAACTGCAGTTGGGCATTGCTGCCCCTCAACCCCTCAGGCTCCTCTTTTACCACCTAGGGACCCAGACCCTGTACCCACCCCTCATTCAGATTTACTAATACATTCTTCACATTTCCCTAATTGCTTCTAGAAATTTGGCTGTGCTTTGATGGAAATGAGACATCCTAACTCTGTCCAGGAGGAACGGAAGTAAGTGAATGACCCTCCAATGTCACATGAAACCCTCAGGGATTGCTGAAAAGCATATCTTGAGCCCTAGGGTTTATATTAGGGCTGGGCAATGGTTGGCACCCAGTCCTTTGGAGATGGATTTTAGTTGGTGGTGGTGTGGGCTCCACGGCGGCTGATGCTCTGGCCTCTGACTTCATCACTTCCTTTCCCTGTACTTATAATTTTTCTATCAGAGATTATACTGTCTACCTCAGTAAGAATCAAATGAGAAAACAGGAGAGTGCCTGCCATGGAAAATATTAGTTTTCACTCTCTCCCTTTGAAACCCACGTTGGGAGTTAGTGGAAGCCATGCTCACCTTAGAACTTTTCTGAAGCTCACAGTGGACATGTAGCCAGTGGGCAGGTCAAGTTCAAAGAGTCAAGAAAATTTCTCATAAGGCAGACACATATAGTTCACATATGTTCTCTGAGGAACTGCATCTTACATGAGGCTGGATGCTAAAGGCATGTCACAAGGTATAAACATCTGTACTCAGATCCATCTCTGAGAAGCCACGACACCCTCCAGCGCCCTGTAGCACTCTCCACAGAGTGCAGAACACAGGCAGGGTGTGGCTCCTGAACATCCTTTGAGGAGGTCTCAAAGGGTTTCCTCCAACAGAGGATCCCTGTGACTTAAAATGTGCATCTGAGACCTGCTTAGCTGGAGTTTCAGAAACTCACTCATGGTTTTTACTAAGCACACATTGGCAAACCCACTTGTGCTAGAGGCCCAGGGGACAGGATCACAAGCACCCATGGTCAGGCCTCAGCTCCACACCCAGCTCCAGCATTTTGGCCTTCACCCTCCCCATCCCTCTCCTTTCCAACCACGCTCATTGGTTTCCCAGCAGGTTCCCCCTCACCCCTCTTCAGGGAGAGATAGGGCACCATCCGTTCTCCCCTCTAGGTACCCGGAACCCTTGCGTTTCTTTCCCCGTAAAGGGCCTTCCCTTCCCCATGCTGACTCTGAAGCCCATGGTCTGGCTGCTGCCCAAGACAGCCAGCGCAGGTAGAGAGCATTCATGCACGCATGCATGCGTGTATGTGTGCTAATGTGTGTGCATGTGTATGTGTGTGTATGCATACATGTACAAGTGCATGTGTGTGATGCATGCCCAGGGTTAGGACATCCCTGGCCACATGCAGGTCACAAGACCTGAATTCTAATGCAGGCTGCACCACTAACTCATTCAATGACCTTAACCTCTGTGGGCCTCAGTCTTCCTCATCTGCCAAATGGGGAGAAATTATCTCTGCCCTGCGCATTTCTGGGGCTGAGGACAGAGGAAATTAATAACAAGGAAAGAAACTGCAGAAACCTCAAGCCTCATACAGTACACGTGCTGGTATTTTTACCTCACAACCATCCACTGTGCCTCCCCCGCTAACAACACAGCCACCCCCCCAGTATGCTGCATGACAGATTTGGAGAAGTGACTCAATGTGAGACTATTTTGGGGCAGAAAATACACATCCATATATTTAGAACTTTGTTGCTAAAGTGAAAACTTTGAAAAGCATCCAGCCCAGAAACCCTACTGCCAGAATGTGCAAGTTCTTTTTTTATTGTTCTCTCTCTCTCCCTCTCTCTCTCACATTCAAATTGTTAAGATTGTGTCTTCATTTAGAGGAGTTTTGGGGGAAGTTTTGGGATGTTTGTTTATTTGTTGGGTATTAATGACTTTGTTGTTTTGGTTTGGGATTTTTTAGGATTTATTTTATTTTTAGTTGTGTGGGTGCGTCTGTGTGTGGGTTTGTACACATGAGTGAAGTGCCCATGGAGGCCAGCAGAGGGTGTGAGATTCCCTGGAGCTGGAATTACAAGCAGCTGTGAGCTGGCTTCCAGTCCACTGCAAGAGCAGCAAGTGCTCATAACCACCGAGCCATCACTCCAACCTTTGTTTTTGTTTGTTTTTGTCTTGTCTAAAAGCAAAACTTCTAGAGGAAAACAGGAGACTTTTTGTTTTGTTTTTTTTTTTTTGTATCAAGTCTCCTAAGCCTCTTATATGGGTCTTCCTTGACTGTGGAAACAATGCAATACAGCCAAACAGAAAAAACAGTGTCTCGATCAAGGAAGATGGCTCAGTCAGTAAAGTGCTGTCTTATGAGCTTGAGAACCTGAGTTCAATCGTCAGACCCGTATTTTTAAAACAGAAAGTCAGGCGTGATGGTGTCCTTGTAATCCCAGCACTGTGGAAACAAGACAGGCAGGTCCTTAGGGCTCAAGTGCTGCAGATGAGTCTTTTGGTGAGTTCCAGGCCAGTGAGAGATCCTGTGTCAAAAAATAATAATAATAAAAATGGCACATGAGGAAGAACACCTGAGGTTGACCTCTGGTCTCTACACGAATGCACATGCACACACACACACACACACACACACACACACACGCACAGAGAGAGAGAGAACAGGGCCCTTTCTACCACTTGTCAGCACTGACTATCATTCATGTTTACTAGAGATGTGGTTACAACCTCTGACATGTCTAAGGATGTCACTCTGCAGAAGGAAAGTGTTGTCAGGGATAGGCCTGCACTGCTACGAAATTTTCTAGAACAAGGTCAGTGTCCTGTCTATGCTGTCTATAAAGCAACCCACTAGCCACACATGACCACTGAGGGTCCCCCATACCCCCCACCCTTCTCTTTCTCACTCCTCCCCCTCCTGTTAGCGCCTTTGTCCCCTAATCTGTTTCATTTCTAACTTCATGTCATATATACACATGTAATTTTAAGTATCTATGAAATCTAGGAATCACGAATGAGGGAAATCATGAGATTTTTGTCTTCCTGAGACCCCTAAGTCAATTTATAAGACTCCAGTTCCATCCATTTTTCTGCAAGCGACATGGTTTCTCTTTCCTTTATGAGTGATGAAAACTCCATTGTGTCTTCCACGCGCCCCTCATTCCTCTGTTGTTGGACGTCTAGAGTAGAAACCGAAATTGTTTTCTGCAGTTCATTGTAGTGAATTTAACTTTGGAGTTAATCAGTCACAGGGAGCCAATAACTACCATATTAGAGAGCCTGGTCTAGTTCCCAGCTACTTAGCATAGGTCTGGGAGCTAGCTGCAATTTAGCTTGTTAAAAATGCTGGTTCTCAGGCCCCACCCCATCCCCTCCTGAACCAGAGGCCTCACTTTAACAAGCTACCCCAATGATCTTTGTACATGTTAAAACTTGAGAGAAGAGGAAGCCTGGTCTCTAGTCACAGCAGTCCCTTCTGCAAATTAAGGTACCATCTTAACTCTTTGGGTCTCAAGCTTCCTAAGTCAAGCAAGGCTGAAACCTTTTAAGTTTTGGGTAGGGTGACATGGAGAGGGACAGACAGCTATCATTGTGGTGAGCTTAGGTAGGCTGAGTCATTCCTGAGGAGCCCAGAGGCATGACATAACTTCACTCAATACAGGAGAGAAGGTTCTAGAGCCAGGAAGTAATGACGATCCAAAGGAGTGTGCTAGCCCAGGGAGGGGCTCCAAGACAGAATTCACAGCTTCTCATTCCTCTGTGGCAGGAGTTACAAGGTCCGATTCAACAGTGTCTCCTCCTACTCTGACTCTCGCAAGTCATCAGGCGACGGGCCTGACCTCAGAGACAACTTTGAAAGTGCCGGACCCCTGGCCAACGTGAGGTAAGCAGAGGTTCAGGGGACCAGGGAAGATGAGGCTCTTGGGGAGCAGGGCTCAGATCCAAGGCGGCTCTTTGTTCTGTGGGAGAAGCTCCCCAATAATGCTCCTTCCTTCCTCATGACACCAGCTGGGACCCCTCCCTCACCAGCACATGCTGCCTGGCCTCCCCAAGCATCCTGTAACATCTCCTCTTCTTTTTTTAATGTTTTATTATTTTTATTTTTTGTGTATGAATGTATTGCCTGCATGTAAGTGTACCTGTGTCATGCAGTGCCAGCGGAGGTCAGAAGAGGGCGTCTGATTCCCCTGGAACTGGAGTTACAAACAGTTGTTAGCCACCATGTAGGTGCTGGAAATTGAACTTGGGTCCTCTGTAAGAGCAGTCAGCGCTCTTAACCATTGAGCCATCTCTCCAGCCCCTGACACCCCCTCTTCTAACTCCCTCTCAGAGAGAGTCACCCAACGTTCACCACCATTTGTGCTGAAGGGTATTAGTACCCTGGTACCACTCTCTGAGCTGCTCTTCCCAGCAATGCATTTTACACTGAATGAAGTGTCTAGGAACACCCTGTCATGATGACCCAGTGGTTCTCAACCCTAGGTGCACAGCAGAATCACCTGGGGCTGGCCCAGGCATGGTGCACACCTGTGATCCCAGCCCTTGGGAGGACCAAAAGTTCAAGGCTACATAAGGAGACTGTCTCAAAAACAAAAACAAAATCACCTAGGGATGTTTGCAATCTATACGGTAATACCCAAGCCCAATCTAACTCACACAGCTAGAATTGGCCTTGGGAGTGTTTTTTTCTAAGTCTTACAAATGGACTCAACTATGCAGTCAATTTGAAAAATACCACCCAAACCCCATGTTTCCCCAGGCAGAGTCCCATTCTGTGAGAGGATTTCACGGGGGGAGGGGGGGGGGAATCTTTAGGGGATAAAAGAACTAGCATTTGGGGGTTCAATGTGTGTTCCGTTTACTGAGTGTTTGGGAAGAAAGAAAATGAGATGGGGATGTTTGCCACAGCCTGCATGGCTACATAGCAGTGGACACAAACAGGAACAGTGAGATATCCAATAAAATATCACACACAGACAACTTAATAGTTAAGAAAGTTCAGGGACTTTCCATAGAACAAAGAGCTCTGAGTCTCTAACTCTCAAGGTTTTATTCACAGGGATAGAGTGCTCTGAGTAGGTATTCAGGAACAAATCGTATGCAGATCAAAGAACATTTCTCTGCAGAAGCTCAGGAAACAATTAGCAACAAAGTGTGGCCAGTCCATAAGGTGCAGAGCAGATGTTCACACAAAGGTGTAAATAAGGCATAGTTTGTTTGTTGTCTAATCTGAACATAAACATAAGGGACACTGCATTTCAGAGCCCCGCCTCAGCGTGGCATACATACCTTTCTGGCTCTGCCATCCTAGACAGTGTTGGCTAGGGGACTTTGCACATGTAGTGCACATGCATATGTAGTGCACATACACATGTAGCATGCTTTCTTTAGAGTTCAAAGAGGGCAGTGGTCTCCAACAGGTGTTAAGCCTTGGTGTCCTGGATAATGGTCAAGATGAGATTGATATGGGCAGCCCTGCAGGCAAGGCCTGCAGACCTGGCTGTTCAGAGCCAGGCTCACAGACAACAGGGGACACAGGGCTCTTACACAGTGAACGATAGTGTCTGTTGATAGATTTTTCTTTACATTTTGTGTGTGTATGTGTGTGTGTGTGTGTGAGTGCATGCGCATGCATGAGTGTTCGTGTGTCTGTGTAGGTGTTCATGTGCCACAGCACACATGTGGAAGTCACAGGACAACCTCGGGTATGAGTCCCCTCTCTCTGACTCCTTCGAGAAAGGGTTTCTGCTGGCATCACTACTCCATGATAGTTGGCCCTGTTGCCTTTCTGTCTCCTCCTCTCATCTTGCCATAACAATGCAGGGACTACAAGCACACACTATGGTGTCCAGCTTTATGTGAGTTCTGGGGATTCAAACTCAGGTCCTCAGCCAGGTGTGGCAAATGCTTTGCCCACTGAACTGCCTCCCCAGCCCTACACTTTATGTTTTAGGAAAGTTGTAGGTTGGCAGCAATGTGAGCATTCCCATTCTCTCATCCCACCCCTCACTACAGCCCCCACCACCCCAGCCACCATGTCAACACCCTCACACCCCACATGGCCACATCTTCATCAGCCACAGCCCACAGTTTGTATCAGGACTCCATTTCAGGGTAGGGCATCTCACAGGTTTTGATATCAGTACATTATTTTAGCTGAACACAGAAACAAGCAGGCGTTACCTTTATACTCCCGTTAGGCAAGACATTAGCCCCTCCAAAGCTAATCCTGTTCGTCTTGCTACTTGATGTGTAGTTTAAAAAATTGTACTCAAGGGGCTATGGAGACAGTCCGTAAAGTGCCTGCTATGCAAGTATGAGGACCCAAGTTTGGTCACATCAACCATCTAAAAAACTAGGCATGGTGGCATGCACCTGTAATTCTAACACTAGAGAGCAGAGACGGGAGGTCCCTGGGGCTTGCTGACTGACTAGTTTAGCCTCATCAGGGAGCCCCAGGTCCCAGTGAGCAATCCTGTCTCAAAAAAAAAAACAAGATTATAATGAGGAACAACACCCAAGGTTGACCTCTGGCCTCCACACGCATGTTCATATGTGCATACACATCTGCGTACAGGTGAGCATATGTACATGTATACATACACCAAAATAGTTGTACTCGATTACAATGTTTTTTATTTCATCAATTAAAAATATGCAGGCATTTGTTTTCCAAATACCCACACAGTACTGTCAACTTTGCAGTCCTAAATTCTTTGCTATCTGCCCCACGTGCAAGAACTTAGTCAACTGTTGGTTTACAGGTTTAAAATAGGAACTTTGGAATCATAAGTGGAGAGATTGTCATGGGAACGTGAGTCTCCCTGTGGCTATAGTGTGGGCCCCTCCATCCGTCCAGAAGTGACTCAGCCACCTGATTATTTGCTGGTGAGCATGAGAGTCACATGTCTGAGTCTGTTGGAGCTGCTGTAACAGAAGACCATCAACAGTGTTGTAAACAGTGTTTACCACTCACAGTTCTACAGGCTGGGGAAGTCCAAGGTCAGCATCCAGTGAGGGCCCACTTCCTGGTTCACAGAAGCCACCTTCTAACATGTACTCATGAGATGGAAGGGAAGACATCTGGTCCCTTCAACCGCTTGGATGGGCACTAATCTCTGCACTATCATACCTCTATCACATTACATTCAACATGGGAATTGGGGGGACATGAACATGTAGACCCCAACTCTGAGGTGGGGAGAAGCAGAAGGATTACTGGGGCTTGCTGGCTTCAGCCTAGCTGAGAAAATTCGAGTCCCAGGTTAAGGAATTGACCCTGCCTCCAAGGAATAGATAGGGAATCGAGGGAGAAGGACACCCTATCCCCTCTTCTGGCCTTTGTATACACACAGGCATGCACAGCCACATACATCCATGCATATATACTTACATACAGAGACATATACACACACAAATTTTTAAGGTTAAAAAACACAAGAAGCAATTAATAGTATCAGAGATAGTCAAATGTGCCAGACATTGTAAACATACATACTAGGAGTTGGGGACGATCACCTTACCCACTCATCTGCATGAGGCTAAGGCTGACAGAAATGCTCTTTCCTGTCATCTTTCAATCAGTCCACACTGGTCACCATATCTGTGCACAGATCAGACTGCCCCTACCCCCATGGTACTCAATCCAGCAAGACCCTGGAGTGAGGGATGATGGGGGAGAACCCTGCCTTGCATACACACTTGACTTGGGAAGGCTGTGAAGCCCCTGGAAAGGGGTTAGGAAAGAAGGGGATGATGGATTGTGATGGTATGAATGCAGCTCTAAGGAGCGGATGGCCTGTGATGACCCTCGCTCTACCAGTGAGACCCCTGGAGCCACCTCAGTCCACCCTGCAATGGCAAAGCCCCTTCTCTTCCTTCACTCTCAGGATTCATTGGAACTTTCTCCTGAGGATGGTGACCTCCCAGAAGAGGGATCACAAGGACTCAGGATTAAAGACGGTCCAACAAGGAAGTTTTCCCAGGACCCAGGAGGCTTCTGTTGCTAGCTCATTAGTCGAGAGAGAGAGAAAGAAAGAGAGAGAGAGAGAGAGAGAGAGATCACTCCCTCTTACAGGGACACCCTGTGAGTGGTACTGGCTTAGGGCCCCACCCTTATAATGTCATTTAACTTTGATCACCTCCCTAAAGCCCCGATTTCCACATAAAATTTCATGGGCGTTCAAGACTCCAGCATGCGAATTTCGGGGTCACACAGTTCAGCCCAGGACACTAGACAGCCTCCATGCCACACAGTCCCCCATCACAGATCTTCTGTTTTCTCCTGCATAGATTCTCGGTGTTTGGCCTGGGCTCACGGGCATACCCCCACTTCTGTGCCTTCGGGCATGCCGTGGACACCCTTCTGGAGGAGCTGGGAGGGGAGAGAATCCTGAAAATGAGGGAAGGAGATGAGCTCTGCGGGCAGGAGGAGGCTTTCAGGACCTGGGCCAAAAAGGTCTTCAAGGTATAGTGGGTCTCAGAGGATCCAGACAGTGCCTCACATTCCATGGAGAGCTGGAGGCTGGGGTGTGGCTCCGTGGTGGGGTGCTTGGCTAGCATGCAGGGGGGCTGAGTGTTCTGTCCCCGGCACAGGGAAGGAAGGAAGGGAGGAGGGAAATAAGAAAGGAGGAAGGGAAAGAGGGAGGAAAGGTGGGAGGAGGGACAGAAAGGGAGGAGGGAGAATAAGAGGAAGGGGCGAGGCCGAGAGGACGGGAAAGGGGAAAGAGAGGAGGAGAAAGTGGAAGACAGCAAGAGGGAGGAGAGTAGGCAGAACTCCTGGTACTCCCCCATGTATCCAGCATGATATACTTTAAACAGTTCCAGTGAATCTGAGTGATCTTATCACAGACATTTCCCACACAGAATCCAACATTCTGCCTGGAGCAAAAGGAGCTGGTCCATAAACAATCATAGGGCCTGGGAGTAGCTCAGTGGTAGAGCACTTGCCTAGCATGTGCAAAGGAGGCCCAGATTCGATCCCCAGCACCACAATCAATAAACAGGCTCACAGAGCCTGTCTATACACAGTGTACAATAAAAAATTGAGTAGAATTTAAACTCCATCCCCACATTCTCTGTGCCCAGCAGCCACAGGGGTTGCTGGTGATCATATTGAACCACGTAGAGTGTCTCCATCCTGGAGACACAAGGTCAGGGGAGAACAAATGAACCATGGCCTTAGGTCTGCATGTGAAGTGGGATTAAACTGTCCACCCTGGGGGCATTGAATGTCAACCCTGTTACTTTTGCCTGCTCTGTCTGCTGCCCTGGAATCTACTCTCACCAGCAGCCCCATGAGGAAAGGTCCTGGGCAACCTTCTGTCATTCAGCTGGTACAGGTAGAAAAAAGAGACCCTGGGGTCTCTATGGATTTCTGTGGGAGAAGCTGAGCCTCTAAGCCTGTTTCTGCATTTCTGGAGAGAGCTGGGATGGCAGGGCTTTGTTCGCATCTGAGATAACTGTGTGATTCATGATCTCAGTCAGCCAGCCTTGACTGATCCAGGGCTGTGAAAAGTCACTGGACCCTTCACCTCTCAGCCTGCTGGTCTCTCATCCCACCTCCAGCGTGAGCAATCGCTGTCTCTAGAGATATTACTAATTGTTCACTTATTATAAATGGAATTAAATGCCAGGTGGACTTTCATGACTAGCTTCCTTCACTTAGCATAATGCAGTTATGGTTCACCCATCTTGTAGCCTATATTGGGACTTTTTCCCTTTGTGTAGCCAGATATTGATAAAAGCTACCTTTGAAAAATGTTTTAATTTTATTGAAAAACATTCTGATTGTTCATGCCTACAGTCTCAGCTACTTGGGAGGCTAAGGCAGGAGAATCACTAAACCCAAACATTCAAGACCATCTTGGGCAACATATCCAGACCTTATCTCAAATTTTTTTACTAATAGTTCTGAGCAATAATTCTTGGGATCATTAATGTTAAGTAATAAAGGAGTTTGACCAAAAAGGAAACAAAAGAAAAGTTATATCCATTTATATAGTCTGCCTTTGTATAATTTTTGAAATCTTTTAGGGAAGATGGATAGAAAATTCTATGGTATTTACTTTTGTTTTTAATGTTAAATGTCTGTGCACATTCGCTTTAGGAATAAATGTTATTGTAGAGTTGTGTCTTAAGTAGAGGCAAAGTCCTCCAGCCAGTGCTCAGAGAGCAGGGTGATGGAAGGGGTGGATGGTGGATGAATAGTGGGTGGATGGGTGGATGATGGATAGATGGCAAATAGATGGATGGATGGTGGATAGATAATGGATAGTGGATGGATAGGTGGGTGGGTGGGTGTATAGATGAGTGAATGAATGGATGGGTATGTGAGTAGATTGGCGAGTGGATGATTGAGTGGGTAGATGGGTGTGTGGATGGTTGGATGAATGGGTGGTGGGTTGTTGGATGGGTAGATAAAGGGGTGAGTGGGGAGGTGGGGAGGTGGATGGATGGATGGGTGTATGTAAGAGTGGGTGGTTGAATGAAAGGTTAGGTAGGTGCATACATGGACAGATAGATGGGTGAGTGGAAAAGTGGGTTGGTAGATTGATGGGTAGATGGCTCAGTGGATGGATGTTTGGAGGTATTAATGGATGGATGGATGGATGGATGGATGGATGGATGGATGGATGGATGGAAAAAATGAATGGATGGCTAGATGGATGGATAAATCATTGGTGGATGAGTAGATAGGTGGTAGATAGATCATTAGATGTGAAAAAGTGAGTTGGAAGGTGAGTAAATAGAGAGATGAATGGGTAGATCAATGGATGGATGGATGAATGGGTGAGTGGGCGGATGGGTGAGTGGATGGATGGGTGGGTGGGTGTGTGGATAGATAGGGGAGGGGTTAGGGAAAAGGGAGATAAAGAGGGAGGGAAGGAGGAAGACATCCATGCCATGAGGTGGAGCTTTGGGGAGGAGTCCACTAGGATGAAAGAGGTCACTGAAAGCTCTCTGTGGGCCACAGGCAGCCTGTGATGTGTTCTGCGTGGGGGATGACGTCAACATTGAGAAGGCAAACAATTCCCTCATCAGCAACGATCGCAGCTGGAAGAGGAACAAGTTCCGTCTCACCTACGTGGCGGAAGCTCCAGAACTTACCCAAGGTGCCTCGTGTTGCCCTCCTGGGAGGCCTCTGTAGCCATGGGAGGGCAGAGCGGGAGATCTCCCCTCCGAAGGGTGCTTCATCGCTCTGATCCCCCTCCAGAGAAGCCCTGGGAAATGTGCAAGGCGTACTTCTGCCCAACAAGCAGAGAAATGTGTACTTAGAACTGTGCAGCATGTCCCTCAAACCGTCTGTTCTAATTTGCTTCTCTATTGCTATGATAAAAGAATGACCAAAAGCAACTTGGGGAGGGAAGGGTTTATTTGGCTTACACTCCCAACTCACAGCCCATCACCCAGGGAAGCCAAGGCGGAAACGGGAGGCAGAAACAAAAGCAGAGTCCCTGGAGGAATGCTACTTACTGGCTTGCCCGCCCTGGCATGTGCAGCTGCCTTTCTTATGCAGCCCAGGCCTTACCTGGGCCACAGCGGACTAGACCTTTTTACATCAATTAACAATTAAGAAAATGCTTCACAGACAAGACCACAGGACAGTCTCAATCCCTCCTCGCAAGTGACTCTAGTCTGTGTCAAGCTGACAAAAACAAAGCAGCACACCATCCTTATCTCAGTTTAGTTCACCCTGACTTTTGGTTCTGCATCCACAACCACGTCACCCAGCCCACTAACACCTGTGTGTCCGTGTCCGGTCCTGTGTCGTGTGTCGTCCTCCCCTCCCCACCCCGCCGTTGCCCACCCCCGACTCCAGAAGCAACTGAAAAGGAGGCTGGGGAAATGGGTCAGGAGGTAAAGGGCTTGCCTTGCCTTGCAGGCACAAGGATCTGAGTTCGATCCCCGGAACCAAAGTAAAAAGAGCCAGATGTGGTGGTGCACGTTTGTAATCATAGGGCTGGCCAGCTAGCCTAGGCTAATCAGTGAGATCCAGATTCTATGAGAGGCACTATCACAAAAAGCAAAGTGTGGGGGCCGGAGAGATGGCTCAGTGGTTAAGAACACTTGTTCTTCTAGAGGACCCAGGTTTGATTCCCAGAACCTGCATGATGGTTAACAACCATCCGTAATTCCAGTTCCAGGAGATCCAATACCCTCTCCTAGCCTCTGAAGGCTTTGCATGGCTTACATACATGCAGGCCAAACATTCATACACATAAAATAATTTTTAAAAAGCAAAAGGGACAGCATCAGAGGAAAGACAGCTAAGTTTGCCTTCTGCTTTACACATACACACACACACACACACACACACACACACACACACACACACATACACACAGGCTGACTAGAGATTTTGTGGGTCACTATTTAACCTTTTGGGATGACGGTTCTCCCTCTTCCCACAGGTCTCTCTAACGTCCACAAAAAGCGAGTATCAGCCGCCCGGCTCCTCAGCCGCCAGAACCTGCAGAGCCCTAAATCCAGGTATGAGCACCTGGGTTTGCTCAGTGGTGCCCCATCCAGTCCCAGCTGCCACCCTCAGCCATGGGAGAAAGTCTCAGACTCCAGGGACAGCCATCCTCCCTTCCAACCATTGCAAACTGCCAGTCTCCTTGCTCTGGGTCCCACTGGGTTCTTTCTTCCCTCCACCACACCCCCACCAGGAGGCATGGAATAAAGGAGAGACCTCAGGAAGAAGAGAAAGAAACCTGGTTTCAGAGTGATCTTAGCAGGGGCTCGGCCCTTATGGAATTGCTAAGCGTTCTTTGTAGCCCAACATCTTTGGCAGAAATTGCTTAAACCACACATTTCCTTTCTGTGGGTGATTTTTCTCTGAAATGCTGCAAAATTAGCTTCCTGGACTCATAACAGTTCTCTGGGATGATAGCCCCACCCCCTAACAGCTCACTCTGTGCTTTGAAATCCTATTGGAAATTATCTTTGCATTTGTGTGTGTGTGTGATGTGTCAGTGTGTGTGTGTGTGTGTGTGTGTGCTTGTTTGTGTGTATGGGTGTGGGCACCTGTGTGCCACAGTGCACCTGTGGAGATCAGAGGACAGCCTTGGGTGTCCACGCTTGCCTTCTGCCTTGTTGGAGACAGGGTCTCTTCACTGCTATGTAAACTAGCTGGCCTGCAAGCTTCTGGATTCCCATCTCTGCCTCCCATGTCCCATGGAGCAATGGGATTTCCAGATACTACTGGGTCTGGCTTTTTCTATGGCTTCTGGGGATCTGAACTCAGGGTTTGGCAAGTAAACACTTTTACCCACTGACCCATTTCCCTAGCCTTAGAAATGCTCTTAATACCCAATATAGCCAAATAGCTTAAGAATCTAATATGGTCACATATCTTATTGTCTAATAAAACATACCCGTCTTTGTAGTTTGAGGTTCTGTTCTTTACCCAGTTACTCTGCTCAGTGGCACCCAAAACAAATTTATTTCTTCCTAATGACCATAATGACCAAAGGCACTAACCAATGTCCTTTGGGTCTTGATGCCTCTAAGCCATTCTTCCTAAGATTTGGTTTCCTAAGCTCTGAGCTTTAGTCCCAGGATGCCCTGTCTCCGTGAAAATGTCACTCTCAGAACTGGTTACCAACAGCAGAAATCATGTGCTCACCACTGAGCATGCTGGGACAGTTTCTGCCATCACCAGTCTGAATAGGTCACAGTAATGACCGGATTCTGCAGACAGTATCCTCCCAGACACTCCCCTATTAAGCGTGCGTCCTCACTGAGCCCAGATGTCTCACTTCTCAAAATGACCACACCATGACTGACCACCCCAGTATAAGTATTTTTAAGCACTATTGAATATCTTTGCATTGATCCCTGTTGAAGTGAATTTTTTTTCACTTTGAAGTTATAAACCAGGCAAACTTTTTAAATCTTTGATTCTTTGCCACCCTGGGCATCAACCCTAGCTCTTCCACATGCAAGCTGGGTCGGTGTGGCCTTGAAAAAGTAACCCAGGCACTCCGAGTGCCTCTCTTCTCCAACATAGCAAAGGAACCATAACTAGGAAGCTTGTTTGTTTTTATTTGATTGGCTCTGTCCAAATACCATCCCTAGCCCTCTGCACACCATTTCTCATTCACACCAGCATAGCAATTAGAGGCTGTTATCACTCACATGTTAGACATGAGAAATGACAGTGAGAAAAAGGGACTTTTTCAAGGTCAGACTGACCTGGTTATCTGACTCCAAAGTCGCCACTGCGCCAAATGCCTACACAGATGGCCTCTGTCACATTACGGGGTTGCTGTAATTATTAAAAATGAAGTACATGAAGCCGTTAGCCTAGCATGGGATCAGCTCCTAGCCCTCATTCCTCCCAGTTTCTTCATGTCACCCGCAAAGTTAGCATGCCTACTTCCTGTATGCGCTTCCAGACCTACATTAAACAGGTCAACAGGGCAGAGCCCCAGGGGTCTTGTGCTCTCTCACATAGATCCTCAAACATTAATGACATGCATCAGACAATTAATATAATTGAATAATTAGTTAAATAGGACGTTTGGTACATGACATGACTATGAGAGGGACCACTTCTATCCCATGGAAAGGCGTGATGTAAACAGCACTAGAAAAGGGGGACTAAGATGCTAAGAAGCCACTGTGGTTTTCTTCAACAAAAACTATGAGATCAGTGTGTGATTAAAAATTCCCTAAAGCATATACACAGCAGCAAAGAAACTTATAAAAAGTTGAGGGTTTGAAGATGGTTAACAAAGGAATATTCTAAGCAAGGTTAGAGACTGGAATCAAATTTAAATCCGTTGTGAATTAACAAAGAAAGGACTGGATGTTACCTACGGGTTTATCTCTTTAAGACAATACCACTTCCAACTTTATAAGGTTTTCATTTTTTTAATTTTTTAAATACGTATGAATGTTGTGCCTGCATGTATGTAAGTGCACCATGTACACTCAATGCCTTTAAAGGACAGAAAAGGGTGTTGGACCCCTGGAACTAAAGTTATGGATGGTTGTTAGCCACCATGTGGGTGTTGGGATACGAACCCAGGTCTTCTGCAAGAGCAACCAGTGCTGTTAACCACTGAGCCATCTCTCCAGCCCTGTGATTATATTTTTAGAAAGACAATATTTAAGTGGAAATGTATAACTCGCCCATTTTCCCCAGGCTAGGGCCAAAGTGGGGCCCTCTGGCCCCGGACGTCATAAACATCAGGAACCTTGCCCACTACAGATCCTCAGCTGCTGGCAGAGTTCCTAGGAGGAAGTAAGCGGCCCTTGGAGGGTGGTGACCTGTGCAAAGTGACCCAGTCACCATTCTGCCTGGAAGTGAATTTTGTAGCACAGCAGGGCAACTAGGAAGCATGTGTAAGAGAGAGTAGTGTTCTTGAAAGAGGTGAAAAGAAAGAGTCCCGGAAGTCAGGGGCAGAGAGAAAATGAAAAGCTGGAGATGGATCCATGAGAAGAATGGACTTTAGAGATGGGAAGAGAAAGCTTGAAGGCACAAAAGGGCCTGGACGTTGGGAATGTTCAGTGGAAATGGAGGGTCCCCATGGGAGATAGCCTTTCATTTTTGTGGATGCATGTGTATTCCATGTGTTTGTGTGTATCCATGTGCATATGTGCACATGTGTGTAGAGGCCAGAGGTCAACGTCATGTGTCTTCCTCAGTCATTCTCAACCTAGTTTTTTTTAATTTTCTGATTGAATTTTTGTACATTTCATATAATACATATTGATTGTATTTAGACCTGCCCCCTATCTGCACTCCCCGCCTCACATGCATTCTGTCATATATGCTAAGGCCTATTGAAGCAAGTTTGTGTTGAAATGTTCCTCAATGCGAGTTCATCTACTGGAGCCTAGTCAGCCTATCTAGCGTCACTCCCTTAAAGAAGACCAACTCTCCCTCACCCAGAAGTGATCAGCTGCCAATGGTTCCTCAGCTAAGGTTGGGGCCTCCTGCCCATTTCCCCACTTCTATGCTGGGTTTTTGTCTGGTTCGAGTTTGCATGGGTCTTGTGCATGCTGTCACCATTGCTGTAAGTTCATATGAGCAAATTCCCAGCTGCCTGGAAAACTGTTTCCTTGTGGTCATCCACCACCCCTGGCTTTTACTTCCTCTTCCACAATGCCCCGCCCCCCCCAAGCCCTGGGTGGCAGAGGTTTACTACAGGAGTCCTATCCAGGGACACACACTCTGCAGTCTCTTATGCTCTACATTTTGGCCAGCTGTGGCTTTCTGTGTTAACCACCCTCTGTTACATGAGGAAGCTTTGCTGGTGAGAGTTGAGAGATGCATTAATATTCTTTCTGCTCCCTGTTCCACCATGTTCCATGAGCCTTGGGTGTCGAGGTTGCAGTGTAGGTGTGTCACGTAGGATTGGGCACCTCACAAACTCTTATTCTCTGTGTTTGACCACTTGTGGAACTCTGTAATGGTCTCCATCTGTTGCAAAAAAAAAAAAAAGGCTTCTTTGGTGAGTGGTGAGAGGTATACTTCTCTGTAAATATAAGGATAAATATTTAGCATGCAGTAAGAAATTACATTTGTCTAGGGATGTGACAAATATTCATTTGTCTAGGATATCCAGGAATATTTGACAATATTACATTTGTCTAGGGATAGGATTTTCTCTAGGTTCTATGGCCTCTCCAACAATGTGTATTTGACTATGTTTACAGTACCGCACATGAGTTCTCTCTCACTGAGAGGGCCTTAAGTTCAATTAGGCAGCTCTTGATTATCCCCAAGATAAAACTTCCACTACTGCACCAATAGCAATAGTTTGGTGCACTGGTGATTGTTGTGGGTGTTAGGTTTTACAGCTGGGTTGGACCATTGATTGATTTTCTCCCTTAACGGTTCGTATCCTCTGATATTATGAGAGCTTGTCTTCAGGGAGGAGCTTCCAGGTCAGTTCTAGCTAGATCGCTCCAAGTCCTGTATCTGAAGTATGTCCTGTCTTCAGTAACAGGGTCTTACCTTCAAGTTCTGGAAAGCAATCAAGAACTATGGCAATAGCCTGAGTTATTTTAGGAGTCTCTTGGACTACCCTGACCAACAACTCGAAGGGAAGTTTCTCGTCTGACACTGTTTCTTGTTACATAGTCTTCATACACATTCGCTCACATATTTTTATATGTATTTTTCAATAGGCTTTTGAAAATTAATTTTAATTAATTTAATTTTAATTAATTTTGTAAAATTAATACATTTTCCTCTGGTTTTTCACACCACCTAAACATTAGTTATCTCACCTCCCTCCCTCCCCGTATAACCCTCCCTCCTCCATCATTAACGTATCTCCCATTCCCCATTTTCCCTCTTGAAACCCCTGTCTCCTATATCCCCCTCTCTCAAACTTCTTCTCCCTCTTCACCCCCATGGTTCCTTTCCATTTTCCTGACTTCTGTGGTTACGTCAGAGTATCTACTCACACCTAAGAATTTGGAGCTCAAACCCACAAATGAGAGAGAACACACATTGCTTGGGTCTGTGTCAC